CTGATATTGAAGCTCAAAAGAATTTGGAGGAAAATCTTCAACAGTTGGAGAATCGGAAGCAAGAGCTGGAGTCACAAGAGAAACAAATGCAAAGTAGATTGGAAAGAATTCTCGAGGCAGTAAGAAAAAACAAGGAAGAGTTAGATTCAGCAAAGAAAGAACAACATAAGATGAGAGTTAGACATGAAGATTCCAGGTAGCTCATCCCAATTTTCCAAATGTTACTGTTTTCAAACTGTACACTGGCTCTATCTGCATATTGGTTTCATAATTCCCGTACCTTGAAAATAACTTGTTGACTGTGTCTCCGTATTTACTAAACATTTACCTCTTTGTTTTCTGGTGAAGGCGCAAATATGAAATGCTGAGGTCAAAAATTGAAGTTGTAGATAATCAATTACGTGAGCTGAAGGCTGACCGGCATGAAAGCGAGAGAGATACAAAAAATTCTCAAGCAGTTGAAACATTGAAGCGTCTCTTCCCTGGTGTTCATGGTCGTATGATTGATCTTTGTAAGCCAACACAAAAGAAATATAATCTTGCGGTAACTGTTGCAATGGGCAGATTTATGGATGCAATAGTTGTTGAAGATGATCACACAGGCAAGGAATGCATCAAGGTATGAAAAAACTATATTTACAGATTTACCTAGCAATCCTTCGCGCGATTGCTTTGTGTTGCAGTGTCTTTTGGCATCCTATCAAACAAATGATACCCTCACGTTCCTACAAATTTTCTACTTCATCAGTCTCATAATTTTCTTCTCTTTTCAACTTGGCACACTTATTAAGAATATGAAACTGTGTACTGGAGGCTTGTTTATAAAGGAGAGAAATAATATCAACCGCAATAATTTTACTAAAGGAAACATGATTTCTTTTTTGGGACAATCCAAAAGGAAAAATGGGAAGAAAATTATGGAAGGGAGTGAGTAATGTTGGGGAAGAAAAAAGATTTTGGGTCATGTTCCATTGTCTTCCCATGATAGTTTTCATAGAAGTCTGTTCAAAAATGGCAAGGCGCAAACCCGCCCCAAGGCGCACCTCAGGTACTTTGCTGGAAAATAATGCCTCAAGCCTATCTAGCCCTACACTATAAACCAGTTGAAGCAATTGCAAACTAAGCCTCAGGGCTTACAACATGATGCAGTTTTGAGACTTACACAATATTTCATGCCAACTTTTTTTAATATTAAGAATAAATTAGTCCACTCAATTAGCAAAATTTAAATACTTATATGGTACCTGATAACCCTAGTGCTACCAACACATTTTTTCCTGATAACCCTACTTTTTTCGAGCCTCTCTCACGCCATTTTTGTTCCCAGACCCTACTCTTGTGGGATTTAACTGGGTTGTTGTTGTTGTTGTTGCTCTGTGGGATTTTTTTGTTGCTAACATGCTGTGTTTTCTTATCTGCTGTGTTCTCGCCATAAAAGAGAACCTCTTGCCCGCCACTCGCCATTCGCCACTCACAACTATGGTTCTAATAATGTCTAATGGACATTTCATTACTTCAAACATGAGGGTTACACACTCACAATACACCATTTCAAACAATGATGCAAGTGGGATGAGATATAATGACTGTATATTTTAATATGGATATAGTAAGTCTCATCTGGGTTATTTTAATGGCAGTATTCACCTTTCTCCTTCAACTAGTGTAGAAATAAAGTGGACTCTAGAGGTCTTACTGGTTTGCGTTTTGTGTGAATCCAACACTATCGGTTTTGTTTTGTAGCTTTCTACTAAACTTTAATGACCCTTTTTGGCTTTGTGAGTTTGTGCTCTTTCTAGTTTCCGTTTACAATGCTAAATTGTAGTTATTTTTAATTCAATTTATTTAATTATTGGTGTAAAATTTAAAAAGAAAATTTATATATTTGGAAACTACATTAAAAGCTTTACAAAACAGGAGGTGAAATGACTACTATTTTATTAAAAGGTTTTGCTTAGGACAACCCTTAGAATCTCATTCGTTGAACTAAAATAAAAAAAATGGGCGTGGGGTTAAAAAGGGGGTGGAGGTGTTCTTTTAACCAATGAGATGCTCAACTTTTTACCTTAAAAACAGCTGTTATGGTTGTCTCTAACAAAATTCTATGAGTAATGAATAGTAACTAGGAACATAATTTTGGGAGGTTTTACGGGCAAGTTCTTTTAACACTGGCCACCGGTGCCATAATCCGACACCGTCCATTTGGAGGGCCATTATGGTGCTCCGTTGAACTTCCCCCTAAAATCCTCTCTCAAACCCCTTCTCCCTACTCTGCACCCCACCGCAGCCCCTCCTTTGGTGAATTGTCATCCAATAGGGGGGGGGGCTTATTGTGGGAGGATGAGATGGGGACGTGGGGTACATGGGGTTGGGTGCTGGGTTAGGGAGTGAGAATTGGGGGGGGGGGTTGGTAGGGGTATGAAACACATTGGGACCAATAGGGACCTCAAATGGACCGGTGTAATATTAGATTATGACACTGGATCCAGTGCCAAAAGAACCATGATGATGGTTTTATTTCAAAATAAAGGGAATTCAAAATCTTTTCAATTTTTATAAAGTTTTGAAAATAAAAGAGCTATAATAACTACTTCCTCTGTCTCAAAACTAAAGTCACAATTCTATTTTTGGTTAAACTAATACACTAACACTATGTTTGGTTCAAGGAATTTGAAAAGGAAAAGAGAATGATATGGAAAACAAGTTTTCTTGTCTGGTTAGAGAGGAAAAGAAAAATGGAAGAGAAGAAAATGAGAGGAGGAAATAAGCTATGAAGAGGGAAACTAATTTTCCTTCCATTTTGATGACGAAAATGGGAGAAACCTTTTTTCTTTTTCTTTTCTTTCTGAATTCCATGAATGAAACATTATGTAAATATACTATAATATCCCTACCATTTTAAATCGCTTTTTCTATCCACCCCTATTTGTCTCCCATAGATATTACACTCTCTCTTATTCCAACCCACATCACATCAAGCTCTTTTCAGGAGTAAAATTGGAAAGTCGAATCCACTTCAAAATTTTCCTTAATAGGTTTGAAGTCAAACTGTGACTTTTATTCCGGAACAAAGGGAATAATGGATTGTGTGTTAAGATCTGTTGCATCTACTTTTTTCCTTCCCAAACCCAGACCCATTTGGGCCTCATCTGATTGGATCAGAATCTTGGTTTAAATGTAGTAATAAGTCAATCACATAGTCATTCCCATATCCAATATGTAGTTATTCCCACATACCTATTTCAATCTCTACTTTCATTTTCAAACCTATTATGTACAGGCAAGCAGTTATATACATCATCTGGGATACGTGGGGTTTGGAATTGAATATTCCATACCAAATCCTTTTTCTAATTCTAAAACAGGTCCAAATCAGGGCCTAGATAACATGTCATTCAACCCGGGGTAGGTCGCGTTTGAATGAAATCTTTATCTATACCCACAAAATATATTTCCTTTCTGGGTCAGATCTGGGTCAATGAAAAGAGATGGCAGTTCCTCAGCGTTGTCCCAATCTGCTTCTGAACCTATGTATTGGGTTGGGGAAAGCTGCATTAGGCCCCTTGACATGCCCATATACAAGTTTTGAGTTTTCATACTTTTTTTCAAATGAACCTGTTTGAAATCTGAGTAGTTACTTTTCTTCAAATGAACCTGTTTGAAATCTGAGTAGTTCACCAAATCCTTGACTGAGATGATGCAAAATGCTAAATTTCCTAATTCCAAGTTTGTACACATGACTGTTCATTAACTATCTAATGTAAATTGCTAATTCTGGCATATTCTCATTAGTGTGCTTGCATGCCTACAGTATTTGAAGGACCAAAGGCTTCCTCCCCAGACATTTATACCACTTCAATCTGTCCGTGTGAAACCGATAATGGAGCGTTTACGTGCATTAAATGGAACTGCAAAATTAGTGTTTGATGTCATCCAGTATCCTCTTCCTCTGCAATTTCTCTAACATGCAATGAATTTCTTAGAGAATTGTTTAACCCCTTCCAATTTTTTTTCCACTATTGTGCAATGTGGCCTTGCAATGTTATTTGACTACCCATCATAGTCAACACTTCTCTTTTTTCCTGTGAATTTGAGAACAAAAAATGTTTTTTTGTTGAATTATGGAACTGGTATGTATATATTGTTTTTAATCACCGATCTTGAAAATGTTTATGTTCTGTTTATTTGAAATATGGAATTGAAATTCAAACAGAAGCTATGAGGTTGTGTTCCTCAACAAATAACAATGCCAGATTCAATCCAGCATTGGAGAGGGCAATAGTATTTGCTGTTGGTAATACCTTAGTTTGTGATGTGCTTGATGAAGCCAAGCATCTTAGCTGGGAGGGTGAAAGATTTAAGGGTAACTTCTAAATTTTCCATTTTGTAAAGGGTGTTAATTCCTCCTGCCTTAAGTCCAGTAATACTAATAACTGCATTGTGCTTGTAGTTGTGACTATTGATGGTATTCTGCTGACAAAATCGGGTACAATGACGGGCGGTTCTAGCTCAAGTATTGAAGTACGCTCACATAAATGGGATGACAAAAGAGTTGAAGGTTTGTGCAATGGTTAATACAAGTGATACTGATATAGTCACAGCTTCTGATATTTTCCTTTTTCAGAACTGAAGAAGAAAAAAGAAGCACTTGAATCAGAATTGGAGGATCTTGGTTCAATAAGAGATATGCATCTCAAGGAGTCAGAAATATCAGGCAAAATAAGCGGGCTTGAAAAGAAGATTCACTATGCAGAAATTGAACAGGTTAGTGGAGTAAATAGTGCCACCTTCCTGATCTTCCTGCAAGCTCCACAATTTCGCACTTAGCTAAGAGAGGTGTGAGGTTAAATAACGGTGTAGACATTCTAGTTGTCTAGATATTCTAATTGCCAGTGCAAGTTCAACATTTCACTTTTTCATGTTAAGAGGGAACTCAAAAGTTTCATGAACTATTTTTTATAGCTTGTCAGCCTAAGATTGTATTAGGTGTTGACTGTTGGAAAATGGTATTGAAGTTGGGCAACCTTTTTGGGACAAGGGGTGTAGTGGATATAATAATGGGGTTCATGATTTATCTAATATGCTCTGTTGCTGTGAAGTTCTTGTGATTGATATTGAGTTAAAATGAAATTTAGCTTGGACCATCCAATCTGCTCTTTTATTAGTGTACTGGGTTTTGTGCTGGATGAGACAATGGAGTTGGAAGTTTTTTTTATAACTCTTTATTATTTATGCTTTTCAAAATGGTTTGTTTTGATTTTTGGGCATATGTTATACATATTATTAGTTATTACCAATTTTACATATTGTTGCAGAAAAGCATTGCTGATAAACTTACAAACTTGAACCGTGAAAGGGACACAATTGGAAATGAGATTGGTCGCTTGAAGCCTGAACTTAAGAAGGTTTTAGTGATCTTTCTTTTGTTATCTCTGTCTCCTTAGGTTAATGATCACATGGAAGCCATTATACCACAACTTTTGGGTTTCTGCAGTTGGAAAGTGTCATTCGTGAAAGGGCTTCTGAAATCCTGTCTCTAGAGAAGAGAATCAATGACATTGTTGATCGCATCTACAAGAGATTCAGCGAGTCTGTTGGCGTTAAAAATATTCGTGAGTATGAAGAGAACCATCTCAAAGCTGTAGAACAGATGGCCGAGGAAAGGCTAAGCCTTCACAATCAACAATCAAAGATTAAATATCAGTATGTTTTTTTCTCTGGTTTTTAAGTTATTGTGATTCTAGTCACACTTAATTATTTAATCGAACCCTGTACTCTATAATAATATTGCTACTAAAATATCAGAGGAGATAGGAGATTGCTGTCACAATCACTTGAGGAAGCTTTCATCTTCTCTTTCACAGGGACATACAGTCATGGTTTACGCTAACAATCTAACCATAAAACTTCATACATCTTTTCTTGACCCATTAAAAGACTATCCACTTCGCACCTCTCCCGTTGGTTGAGCGACTACGTATCTTAGTTGAACTAGCGACCACGTACCTCGTGAGATCCATATCTTTTTAGGCTATGGATTGCTGGAACAAATGTAGTTGAATGGAACAGCAGGCGGGTTACACATTCCACTGCATTCTACTGTATTTGATTTGCTGGGTGAACCTGGCATATTGTGTCTTAACCCTGTATTCGTTTTTCCCTTTCTTCCTCTGTAAATTCTATGCACTTCAAATGATGCCTCTTGGTGTCCTATCTGATCCTCTAACAAACATGTCTCACATTGGTGTAGAGCATGAGTACTAGCTTTTAATTACTATTCCCAGATTCCTAGAGTCATTTTGTTGATTTAGTTCACGAGTCAATCTATGCAATCGTGATTCCAAAGAGGGAATTCTAATTTTTATTCTCTGCAGAGGGCGTAGTCTGTATTGCATTGCATGTTAGCCGACTTTTGACTTCAACAACAGCTTTTAACTTCGTATGGATGATATTACTAATAGTATAAATACCGTAGTATTAATCATGGGCATGCGCTATGCCCAAAATATCAATAGAACGACTCAGATGGATTCCACGAGAGTATGGTCTGGGGAGGGTGTGTGTACGCAGACCTTGCGTAGCAAAAAAAATGGTCATCTACAATATTTTGAACTTTTAAAGTCTTAAAGATTATGTAGAAAATGAATGAATGAAAATGTTAAATAAGTGAAGGACTAAAATATAAATGAGTATGGTAAATGATATGAACAATAGTGCACGAAGTTTAAGTACTTCATGAATCCTCACCAACACATTTCTTTTGCTGTGTTGTGACCTTAAAATTATTCCCCTGTATGGTTTGTTAGATTATCGATTAATGATTTTCGTCTGATTGTGCTCTTAAATGTCGCCATGTTTTTTATTTTAAAGGAGTCATAACTTTTGGCGATGACCATTTTTCTAGTGATATTGTTGGTCTTGATTAATATTGCAGTTAATCCCTGTCATAAGTTTTTTTCTCATGCATTCTTGTGTGGAAAGTGATGGTGCATTGGCTTAAAACCCATCATGTGTTCATGTCAAAAGCACTTGGATAGTTTGCAGCATGCGTCTTTGGTATACTGCTTTGAAACTGGAACACGATACGTATTAATATGATATAATGGCAGGTTGGAGTATGAGCTGAAGCGGGACATGGACTCAAGGATTAAAAAATTGCAGACAACACTTGCCAAGTTAAAAAATGATTTGTCATTGGTTGAGGAGAGTGAGAAGGAATTGACATCAACAATCGAGATAATAGGCAGGGAAATTAAGCATCACAATGAAGTAGTTATGGGTATGTAATTCAACTTTCATATTTGTGTTGCTTCAAAAAGGTGTTGAGTTCACTTTTCTTTGGTTTTGGATCTTGAAGCCTTTCATAATGTAAAGCAAAATTTGACTATATTAGCATTTTAAAAAACAAATACCATTTTAAAATGTACTCCCTCCTTCTTTAATGAACTGTACACTTTACTATTCCAACATCATGGTAACTTTTGTTTACTTGTTTGTTTTCATTGATTATTTGATAAAATTAAACATGCTTGTTACCTCTTGTTTTGTAGAGCTTTTGACGTAGCTTTTAACTATGCAAGTTTTATTTTTTATTTCTATACCATTTTATAAATGAAATTAATATAAAAACATGGGGTTTTGCCACGTATTTTCCTCCCCGCAATCCATTTCAGGAAGGAGAGAGTATAACATAGAAACATGGAAATAGTTGTGGTTCTGATGTGACATGAATTGGGGTAAGTGATTCATGTTAATAGTATTCCCATGTATGTCATTTAAAGTGATTTTATTTGTTTTGAGGCAACCACCGGAAACAAAAAGAGTCCACTGCTGATGGTACTAAGAGAGTAATTTTTTTATGACGTTAGCTTCGGGTAAACATTGGACTAGATCAAAATGGCACGATAAATTTCCCTTCCTACTTTTTATGAAGCTTTGGGAAGTAAATGTAGCAATGGATCATGGGTCTAACAGAAAAGTCCCCGTTTTTCATAGGAGTAACTGCCAACTAGGTAAGGTTGTGAGAAACAAATCATGTTGCTATTATTTTTTGCTTAGTTCATTTTTTCTGATATTGACATTAGGGTTTGATATTGGTATCGGTTTTTTATGAAAAACTTACAAAATTGACTACCTAAAGGTACTATTTGGCTCATCTGGAGCAGAATGTTGTACTACGATAGTGAGGCAGGGATAATCTTACAGTCATACTATCTGTCATAGTGTCATGAATGGATTATTTTTTGTGTATATAGTATATACTGGTAGTTTTTCTAGATTGCTTCTAGAATCTGGATTGGAAAATGTATAACCTGTTTTGTTACTTCTATTTTCAGCATTCTTTCCGTAAACTGTTGTCATAATTGATAATTCTAATCCACTCATCTTGGTCATCAAATGTTATTAAATTTCATTATTGTGCAGAGTGGAAATCCAAATCGGAGGAGTGCGAAAAGGAGATACAGGTATTGCAGAAAGAGATTTCCTCTGCAACGACAAGTGTTAGCAAACTTAGTCGTCAAATAAAGTCGAAGGTTGGTGTTTTTAGTGGATGCCTTGTGATTTTTTATGCATAAACTAACATCCATTATTGATTGCACAACCATATGTTTCTGGTTTGGAGCTACTATAGGAAATGGGGCAAATAGACAACACTAATACATTCTTCATGGGGGTTGGTTTATAGGAGGCACAGATGGAGCAGTTGAATGCAAGGAAACAAGAGATACTGGAGAAGTGTGAACTAGATCAGATTAACATTCCTACTATCTCTGATCCAATGGAAACGGATGGGCAAACTCCTGGCCCTGTTTTTGATTTCAGTAAATTGAGTAGGGCATGTCATCAGAGTACTAGACCATCTGACAGAGCGAAACTTGAAGCAGATTTTTCGGGAAAAATTGCTACCCTTGTATCAGATATTGAAAGAACTGCTCCGAATCTCAAAGCTCTTGATCAATATGAATCTTTGCGGCAAAAAGAGGATGCTGTTGCTAAAGAGTTTGAAGAAGCAAAAAATGAAGAGAAGAAAGTAACTGATGAGTACAACAGAATTAAGGAGGCGAGGTATTATTTGATTTCCATAGAGTTCTTAAAATGGTTTTTTTCCCATCAAAGTTGGTTAGGCACGCAAGTTTATTTACCTTTCTTGATTCAGATAGTAAATGGTTTGTAGAATTGCCCTCTTGTGTGTGGGTGTGGCTGTGTACGTGTGTGTGTGTGTGTGCGTTGGGGGGGGGGTATGAATCTTTTAGACTGGTATAAAGTTGGTCTATTTGAATATTGTCAATTAAGTTTTCAATTCTGTTTTCAGGTATGAATTGTTCATGAAGGCCTTTAATCATATATCTGGAAATATTGACAAAATTTACAAACAACTCACAAAGAGCAACACGCACCCCCTTGGCGGCACAGCATATCTCAACTTGGATAATGAGGACGAGCCATACTTACACGGTATTAAGTACACTGCAATGCCACCAACAAAGCGCTACCGTGAAATGGAGCATCTATCAGGCGGAGAGAAAACGGTTGCTGCACTTGCATTGCTTTTTTCTATTCACAGGTATGATTTTCTTAACATTCAGATCTCTGTGTCGTGAAAAAAAATGTGTTAGCCAATTTCTTGGAGTTTTCTCTTTTACAAGCCAACCTTAGTATTCATTTTCTTATAATAATAATAATAATAATAATAATAATAATAATAATAATAATAATAATAGTATTATTATTATTATTATTATTATTATTACTAAGGTCATTTTTATTGTTGTTTCGCAATTTTTGAGTTACCCAACATCCCTTCTCGGCACTACTCTACACTTAGTGGTAGAGGTAAAGCCTACGTACATATTGCCCCGCTCCCCATCTTGAGTGGGATATGTTAGATTTGTTTGGTTGGGTTTGGTTTGATTTGGTTCGGTTCGTTATCCAACATGCATTGCGACATATCTACATTGTGAGTTGTGGCCCCAATCAAAACCATATACTTTTTTTTTAATCAGGATGATAGAATAAACAAAAAATCTACTTTAATGTGCATCTGTGATGCCATTTGCAGTTTTAAGCCTTCGCCGTTCTTCATATTGGATGAAGTTGATGCTGCATTGGATAATTTAAATGTTGCCAAGGTGGCGGGATTTATCAAATCAAAATCATGTGGTGGAGCCCGGCTTAATGCGGATCCTAGCGAAGGGTGTGGCTTTCAGAGTATTGTGATATCACTCAAAGACAGCTTTTACGACAAGGCTGAAGCATTGGTTGGTGTTTACAGAGATTCGGATCGAAGGTAAAAAAAAAACCTCTCACTTGATTCTTTTTTACTACCGTATTTCAAGATTCATCTCTTCAAGAAAATTAATGGCCAATTCACCCCCCCCACCCTGCCCTCTCTCCCACTTCCAGTTGCTCGAGGACGCTGACATTTGACTTGACCAAGTACCGCGAATCATAAGGCTGCTACCGTTTCTCTCCCCTGGTGGTGTAAATACAAAGCACAGTTTACTTGCCAGTAGTATACGATGACTAGGGATGGACATGGACGCGAGTAGCATCAGTTTAACTAATACAAACAGCCAACAGGATGGTGCGGGTTAAATATAGTTTGTGTTGTACACATTGTTATATTTACTTGTTTAGTTTGATTGTTCACTGTCCATGTTTGACATTTATGCTAGCTTATCTCATAAGTAAAGATATTGAAACTGGTACTGTGCAAGACAGTAGATTTGAGTAAAAGTGCTGGTTGGAGCCATGTTTTTTCGTGAACTCATTGGCAAGACAGGGCTTGTGTGTTTGGGTTGGGAAATGTTGTGGTAAAAATTAAACTAAGAGAAAATTACCAAAATAGTACTCTGTACTAAAACATGTTTTATATACGGAACATCAAAATAGGACTTTAAATGTTTTTATGCTAAAATACCAAAGTGCACTACTCCCTCTATTCAAACATTCCTTTCCCGATTTGATTTGACTTGGAGATTAAGAAAAGTTAAAAATTGTAAAGACTTTTCATGTTTGCTTTTAATATGATAGAATAAAGTGAATAGTGTAGGTAAAAAGTAAGAGTATTATGATACATTCATTGAAATTTTGTTGCCAAAATAAGAAACGAGAAAGATATTTTTGGATGGTCAAAATGGAAAGTGGGAAAGAAGTTAAATGGAGGGATGGAGTCATGTTGTGGCATTGCCGAGATACTATGGTCATTATTTAACGGATAAAAATATGGGAGGGCTAATCTTGGTATGAGTTTTTAGTTTTATTTAGGTAAATTTCATTTCAAACCAATTTTGTTTTTTTTTCCTTCAAATTTGTCACTGCCATATTTTTGTTTGTTTATGTACTGTCACTGAACTAGTTAGAGTTATTGAAAAACATCATTGAACTTGTTAAAGACTTAAAGTGATAAAAAATGACACTCCCTCAATTTTTTTTATTGTACAGTATGAAGTTGTCTTTACTTTTGGTCTTTTCGATTTTTGTTTAACTATTTTCTCCTCATGTTTGACGTTAAGTTTAGTGTTTAGTTTTTACGGTTTGTGAGTTTTATGAAAGGTAGATTTTTGCATTGTGGTTTTGAAAGTTAATGAAAACCATTTTGAAACTATTCAAAAAACTAATGTTGATTACAAATGATATTTACAAACAAAGTCGATATCTTCATCAACTAATTTGTTTTCATAGAAAATAACTCTATCGGTACTAATTTTTTGGTTACCAAAGTGTATGTGTGAAAAATATTGAAATAATTTGTGTAAAAATATAAACGTAAGAAACTAGTGTTATCAAGTGGAAACTTAACCGGTTTAAACCACAATATTATACCAACAAATAAGTCATTAATGAAATTCAAGATTTTATGAAGAGGAAAATGATGAAGGAAAAACAAAGGGGGAGGACATATAACATACTCCTATGTTTTGAGTGCATATGGAGTCCCCTCTTCTTTTATAGTGGAGGGTCATGCTTTCCAAATTTTTTCAAGTTCGTATCCTAGACACATCTCAGTAGTTTGATGGTAGACATTACTATATCTATTTCAAAATAAAGTTCTTGTTACGATTTATTATATTTTTCTACTATATCTTAAATATGTACGGAGTAAGTTTTTCACTAATAAAAACAGAGTACATACTTTTTTTTTATATAATTACCTCTTATTATATTATTTTTTAACTACGAGAATTTGAAATTGTCCAATTTATTGAGGACGACGGAGAAGAAGGGAGGAAAATGTTAGAAAACAGTTCTTCCTACATCATTTGTATATTTTTAAAAAATTCTTCTTCATTTTTTCTTTTTCAGTAATGGAATATGCAATTCTTAACAATTCTTTGTTACCTATTTTTTTTACTTTGCAAATTGTTTCCTAAATTCTAGTGAAATCAAATTATGATTTTAATTCGGGAGTTAAGGGAGTAAAATAACAATATTGAACAAACATAAACATTGATAAAATCCGTTACATACAATTAAATTTTACAGAGTATGAATTTTTCAAGCTCAATGACCAATTTTAGACGTTCCTCTTTTCGCGCCTGTTGCTCTTTCCGCGCTTGTTGCAAAAACTACTTCTATTGAATGAATTAAAAGATTACATCATTGACACCTCCCTCTACTTTGCACACTAAGCGCATATACTATAATATTGAATGAACCGCACGAGATCGTTGATATTCACCTTCATTTGTACATGCATATTGTAAATTTCAAGATTTTGTTTTGTATCTTCTTTTAGAGAAATTTTCTTATATATTAATGACTGAATATGATTATCGATCTGAATATGGAAGTAGAATAATCTATGCTTCACTTATATTATTAGTTTTCGACACAAATAATTTTTTTGTCTTGAAATTGAAAAGGAAAGATTGTACAATATATGAAAAGTAAATTCACTCAAAAAGCTTTCCCATTTTTTCCCCTTCATTAAAAAAAACACTTGAGTACTTTGTAGTTTGTAGTTTCTACTTGTCTTACTTGTAAAACTCTGTCAATTGTTCGAAGTCCAGCGACTAAAAGTGGAGGATCGGTAGGTCTTTTTTAACCCTATCGACGCGTGAACACTGTGTGGAGGAATCCTTTCAGATCGACGAAGGAACGAGCCATTTTTTCCGGCGAGAGTCGTCCGTCGGCGACGGATCGGGACCTCCAATCTTTCTGTTTCGTTTCCCTTAGCGCGGACCAGGTGAGTTGTTTTCCTTTATATATTTTTTTTATTTATTTAATTTGACTTATTCTGCCGAATTAAAGCGGGTCTAAGAACAATGGCGAGGACCGAACCCAAAGGACGCCAATATATCATTTTGATTGAATCTTCAAACACTTTCCTAACATTTTGTCACTGCTACGTGTTTGGAATTCGCAAAATTTGACTTCTTGGATTTCAAATTACAATGGAGTGTATGGATTTCTAGTTGAGCTTTGTTGGGAATTTGGCTTAAATTCTAATATTTTGGATAACCAAAGATGTAGTTTGGGTCAAATTTGAAACTGAAATCCGAATTAGAATTCACTCACCAGCCTTTTTTCAATTCTTCTAACAATTTTCATTGCATTAACAAATCTACAATTTTTTTTGTCAGTTTTTTTTTGAGTTGTGACATGAGTTTGAGGATTATCTTTGAGTCAATAGTAATAACATTCTCTTTGCTTTTATGAAATAATGAAACTTAATTTAAAATATTAACCCAATAATAAATGTGAGGTCAGTACGAAGTACATTGAATAGTGTAAAAAAGTTTCCATGTTCAAGCCTATCTAACCACTCGTGTTTTTTTAGAGTCATCTAACCCTAAGTTTCGGTACTATGTATATACAGTGATGTCCCATCGTTTCAATAGTGTTTTATCAATCATCCTTTCTGTGGTGGTGCAAAAAGCTCCCTTAATCCCAATCCCAATTGCTTCCTCTTCTTCTTCTTCTTCTTATTTTTTAAAATTATTTACCTTTTTATAATAAATTGATGCCTCGCCCTTTTTGTTCTTTCCAAAACCGATGGAGTTCAAACTAATAGCAGAAGACGATGTGTATTTGGATATCGGTGCACAATATATATCAACAAATGATACCATCATGCGGCACAAGCCTAAGGTTGCAAGAAATTTCNTTTCAATAGTGTTTTATCAATCATCCTTTCTGTGGTGGTGCAAAAAGCTCCCTTAATCCCAATCCCAATTGCTTCCTCTTCTTCTTCTTCTTCTTATTTTTTAAAATTATTTACCTTTTTATAATAAATTGATGCCTCGCCCTTTTTGTTCTTTCCAAAACCGATGGAGTTCAAACTAATAGCAGAAGACGATGTGTATTTGGATATCGGTGCACAATATATATCAACAAATGATACCATCATGCGGCACAAGCCTAAGGTTGCAAGAAATTTCGTTGATGCGAAACTATGGAAACATGCCGCGTTTTTTAAAAAACATGAGTTTGATGTCGATAAAAAGGTCAGGGACTTCTTGAACTTGAGGAATAACCCGGATCTTGTTCTAAGAGTGATGAATAACACCATGGAGGTGTTCGTCACCTTCCCTATATATGGTGCTGCCTCATACATGAGTATGTGACATACACTGCCATGGGGACGGTGACGGATTGACAAACACCACTGTGCTGCCTCATACATTGTGACGGACACCACCATGGTGGCCTTCCTCATCCTTATAACAAGATTCATCTTATTCCTCGAGTTCGGGTAGTCCTTGACCTTTTTATCATCATCAAGCTCGTGTACATTTAAAAACAGTGTCTGTACCCACTGTTTTGCATTAATTGCAACCTTTGTCTTGAGCCGCATGATGGTATCGTTTGGTCGGATACCTTGTCCATCGGTATCCAAATTCACTTCGTCTTTCGCTATTAGTCTGAATCCCACTGGTTTTGAAAAACAAAAAGGGTAAATATCAATTTATTATAAAAATGTAAATAATCCTAAAAAATAGGAAAGATAGGCCACCATGGGATAGGAAATGAGGGAGCTTTTTGCGCCGCCACAGAAGGTATGACTGATAAAACACTTGAAATGATGGGACATCACTTTATATATATACCATCGAGATCAAGGATTTGGTAGCCTTAAAAAATACAAGTAGTTAGGTAAGGCTCAAAGAGGATGCAACTTTTTTTAGACTATTCAATACACCTTGTAGTTTGTACAAACCTCACATGTATTATTGAGTTAGTAGTTTAAGTTTACTGTCATTCTTTAAGGTTGTGTTTGGTTGGGGTTAAAATATTTTCTTTGAAGAATATTTTCCAAAGGAAAATTATTCTTCAATCATATAATCCATTGTTTGGTAGGCAAATATTTTCCTTCCACTAATGTCACCAAACACATGAAAATGGAATCAAAATTTTCGTTGAAAATATTTTACGCCCAACCATACACACCATAAATATCTCTTGTTTAATTGTAGGGCAAAGTTTGTATAACCGGTTTTAGAGCTCTCATCAACATTTTCAGGTCAGAGTTCTAATATGGAAACTAACATTCTTGATCTGTGTTCTTGGAAGACTCTTTCGTTGAAGTTCTTCAAAGGAGGAGCAGTTTATTCGACTTGGCCTAAAATGACAGAAATATTCGGCTACACGACGTGCACACAATTATTGCAAATGTCTGTTGCAATAATATTCTTCCATGTTTCCGAGTACATTCTCGCGGTTTCCATTCACGGGAGATTGAGTGTGACACCCAAGTCTCTTTTGATCAGCAAAAACTACATCTTGGCCATGATACTCTGCCTGATAGAGTACCTTGTTGAAGCACACTTCTTTCCCACTATGAAGGAACAATGGTGGATAAGCAATTTGGGGTTGGGAATGGTTTTCACCGGTGAGATCATCAGGAAGGCAGCAATTCTAACGGCGGGTCAATCCTTCACTCATCTCATAAAAGTGAAGCGCGAGGAAAACCATAAGCTAGTTACACATGGAGTGTACCGATATGTACGCCACCCCAGTTATTGCGGCTTCTTCATATGGTCTGTTGGCACCCAAATCATGCTTTGCAATCCGGTGTCAACGGTTGCATTTGCTGGTGTTGTTTGGCGATTCTTCTATGAAAGGATACCGTATGAGGAGTTTTTCTTGAGGCAATTCTTTGGTGCTCAATACGAAGACTATGCCAAAGGAGTTCCTTCCGGAGTCCCATTTGTGAAGTGATGATGCCATGCTCTTCACCTTTGATCTTAGGTTAGCCAGGTTTGACAAGGGTTGGATTTATAATCATGAGACATGAAATTAATGTAACTTTATTTTTGGGTGTAGTATTATTGTTGTATACACATGGTTGTTCAATGTTTTGATAAAAATCTAAAAAAGTCTATAAGAATTTCTTTTTGTTTTTTCTTCTGTTTTCTTTTTTTGAAAAATTTTAGATATAAATTTCACAAATTCATAATTAAAAAAACCCAAAATATTATTTTGGAAACATATCAAGAATCGTCCAAGAACTGGACCGGAACAACACCACCCCCACCAATATCAATCACGGTTGGTGCTAGGAACCACCGTTACGAAAGCATAACATACCGTGTCTAGGCCTACTCATCCCTAGTATACCTCATACTAATGAGTTGGCTTAAACCTATCTATTTAGGTTAACTTTGTATGAGCTCAAAGATGTTTCTCTTCCACCAGTGTATGCTGCTTGTATATGCTCTTGTTCACGATGAAATTCTTCTTAAAATGTGTACAGAAAAGGAAGAAGAATACATGAGAAATCATTCTAAATAGAAGTAAAAACATAGAAAATTACTAAAATCAAAATTTCATGTTTTTATATCCAAAATAAAAGTTTACACTGTGGTAATATAGCACTGTGTATGGACATTTCACAATATTTTTTGATAATATATACGATCATGATTGACACTCTAAATGTATTTTAACTATTATTTCAGGAACAAAAACATGAAACTCTCGTTTTGGTATATTTTCAATGTTTCACTATTATTTTAGTCTTCTCTGTTTACCCATTACTGAGAAAAAAAATAATTAATCAAAAAAGAGAATACAATCCCCTTCAATATATAAATGACCTTCGTGTTTGAAAGATGTGTCCAAAGACATCAAATTTCCCAACAAGCATAACCTCTTATACTTGCTTGAGATGCAAATACCTAATCTATAGACTTGAATGACACCTCAAGACAAAACGACTTCCTCTACCATCAAGAAACTGGTCGGTATGCCACCCTTTGGCCTGCAGCTCAGATAGCAATGGAATGAAAACAGTATTCATCTTCTCGTAAGCCTCTTGCACCACATTTTCGCCCGAGCCGTGAAGTGATTTCTCCATAGCCGAAGCATACGCAGCAACCAGCCATCCCCTCAGCGCGTCTTCCCCAGTAGCATTGTGCTCCAATATCATGTCTGTGGATTTTGGCCCGCGGCACAAGAGAAACTTTTCTTCAGGGAAAGCCTCTTTGAGGTGTTGCAGGTGGGAAGGCCGAATGGCTTTGCTCAGAGTTCTTCCCACCTTAACATTCCCAGCATCCTCTATCATCCGCCCAGGAAACAAGATATCCTCTTGATACCGTAAGTCGGCTGGGCTAGACACTTTTCCTGTCTTAACAAAGTTCTTCACAATCAATGCAGTCCGTTGCGGGTTCAGTGTGTTGACAGGAGTAGCTTTCATTTCTTCGGTAACACAGTGGATGTGTATAGCGGCAAGGAGGGGTCCCACAACCATCTGCAGAATATGTTTCACAAGCAATGCATTGGAAGAAACCAGACGACCAATGTAGATTTTCATAATGCTAGAGGTGCATCATTGTACCTTTCCTTGCGTTGATGAACAGATAGTGGATGCTAATTGAATCCCAGCACCAATTCCAAGAACGTTAAACAGTGTGGATATGGCTTCCCCTTTTGCAAAAAGGTCACTAAGATTGCCTTCTTTGGCAAATGATGAATATATTGGTAATCTTGTTGCTCTTGCTGCAACAACTGCCATTCCCTGGTGATACAAAAAGGAAGAAACTACCACAGGAGACTTTAGATGCCAAATAACAAGCAAAACATCCGCAAAATTTTTATACCGTTAAGGCAATTCAAGAACCAACAGACAACAAAAAAGAACGAAACAAAGTTGATGCGATATTTACAGCCAAATGTATATATCATTGTCTTCCAGCAGCAAAGAGATGGTTGAAACATTAATCTCAGAAATAAAGGATGATTGCCTTATAGTAATGCATTGTTACCTTTGCGAAATTGCCAAGGCCGGCCATCTGAAGAAACAATTGAGGACATAAAGGAGACAAAACTTCTAAACCAATGCCAAAGTCATAGAGAACATCAGCTGCAAGATCAGGATATTGGCAAATGAACACAACACACAACATATGAAACCAAACTACAAAATAATGGGAGAAATTAATAATCCGGATATTATTTAGTATGCAAAGCTAGATAAAATATATGAACCTAAAACTCGCCAGCTTTTAGGCTCAGAATCCATCCTTGCCCCTAAGTTGCTACAGATAATCTTTCCCACGTGTTGCATCCCATCTTTGAGTATCTGTGTATGCAAATAAAAGTCCGTTTAACCATTTCAGAAGAAAATTCAGGAATGATTGGATAAGTTCTCCATACATATTAAGTTCATACCCAACTTGCAGCAGTTGCTTGTGCAGGTGTAGCTCTTAAGCCTGCAGCAAATAGTAAAGACTGCAATGATGTGAGATTTCAGAGAAGTATTGTTGCAATTGAGTGTCCTAGGCAATTACTTTACACTGATAATGCTCAATTATACTTCAGTATATTTTATATAATGAAAATAGAATTTTTATGCGGAAAGATGCAAAACTGGTCCAGGCATCCTATTCAGCTAACAGGTTTCGTTTATCAAGAAAAAAGGTAATAACAGTATAAATCAACCTATGGCTTCAAAGTTAGGACATGCCATTGGCTTCACGGTTAGAAGAAGACCTGAGTCGAAAGTACAGATAAAGCTGCACTGGAGAAGTGTTGCAATGCTCGAAACTGTGTGTATCTAAGATAGCCTTCATTAACACTGCAGCATAAACGTAGGACAACTTGAACTAAGAAGAGGCTTGGATATTAGCCAAAAATACATGAATGAAACCGTGCAGCGATACTAAAGAAAGCAGATAGTATAATCCCTAGACTAGATTAGAGGAACTCACCTATATGGATACCCCGTAGGGAAGAATTTGTTTACAAAAGATTCAACCACTTTCTGCACACCAGATCTAGAATCATCAAGAACCTTTACCTGCACAAGGTATAATTTGAACCTCAAACTTGTCCCTAGTCCCCTTTTAAACATTCATAGTGAACATACTTTCAAACATCACCGTATACCTACATCTAGAAAAAATGCTTCAAATTACAATTTCAGACCAAACCAAATCAAACATACCAAGGATATACTCGTGCTCATGGGTAAGATCGGGATAAAAGATGGACACAAACCTTACCTCTAAACAAGTGCAGAGAAGCCAAAAGGAAACCAAAAAACAGTGACACGTGATGTGAGTGGTCGAAAATCCTAACGAAACCAAACAACTAAGAGCTCATGGTAGACGAAAGTATATCCCAACTAGAGCTCATTGTAGTGTCTAAGAGACAGCATTACCTCTAACCAAATGTAGACGAAACCAAAAAGCATTGACACATAATAAGAGGTGAAAACCCCATTCTGTTAGCCAAAAACAGTTTCTAGAAAGAAAGAATCTAAAATATATGATGGCCGCCATTGCTGAAATGAATTTCCATCAGTAGAATCAAGCAAGCAAAAATGGGTAGCAATATAATAGCATCGGAATAGGCTTACAGATAGGTGACCATCGGATTCGAACACGAAGCGGCGAGATACAGAATTCGAAGTCTCAACCCAAAACACCGGAGTTTCCGGCGGCGGAGAATTCCCGCCCTCCGCTTCCTTCTTCGGCATCTTTATCTTATCCTGCTTATCGATCGTAAGGTCAAGCAGTGAAAGAAACATCCAGAAATGAAAGAAGGGGGAAGATAAGATACCAGTAATGAATTCATGTGGAAAATTTGCAGAAGGATAGCGAGCGGGTGAGATTTGAGCCTTTTCCGGAGAAGTGAGGAGCTAGCAGAAAGAATCTAAGCCGGGTCACATTATATACGGAGTATATTCTGGGCCACAAGAAAAAAAGCCCACATGGAAATCGTTCTCCAAAAGGTGAAATCGCTCACCCCGGCCGCCCCTCACCCCCGACCCGACGAGATTGTGCACATGGAAATTGTGATCTCATATATGGAGTATTTCAACCATCTTCACATACAACATGGGTAAATTTAACCAATGGTACCTGAACTTTAACTGGAATTTCGAAGTAGTACCTGAACTTCAAATCCTTTCACAAAAATCCCTGAACTTACATAATCCTTTCACTAATGAGCCATTAGCCTGTTTCTAGGTTAACTTCCGGTCATTAGGGCCAAATTCGAATTTTATATATTTTAAAATTTTCAATTTGGCCCTGATGGATATAATCCACTAGCACCAACCCCGGTATACTGACCGGGTGGATGTGCAGGTCAGAAATGTGAGATCGTGACTTCATTCGCAGAGAAGGCCTGAAGCCTACCCGGGGTGGATGACCTGAAGACTGCCCGAGGTGGATGGCTGGAAGATCACCCGGGTGGATGACCTGAAGCCTGCCCGGGGTGGATGACCTGAAGCCTACCCGGGGTGGATGACCTGAAGCCTACCCGGGGTGGATGACCTGAAGCCTACCCGGGTGGATGACTTGAAGACTGACCGGCCAGAAGAAAAGTAACGTCGGGACGTGCTTGACATGCTTGTTTTTATTATAAATACCCCTAAAAGCCTCATTTGTGAGGCATGTTTTGAAAAAACCTACACGGCTTGTATTTGTAAAAGTCCCAACAATCATCAATAACAAACCGGGTTACAGGTGTTCCCACCTACAGCCCTTCCGACTACTTTTACTCAGTATTTGCGTGGTAATTTACACCATCAGGCCCCATTTCTTCTTTTCTTTTCTTCCACGCCCCGCCGCCGCCGCCCGCTGGTCAAAGTCGTCGAAAATGAACTTTTTCCGATTCCGGCAGGACCAATGTCATTCTCTTCGTCTTGAGACGATGATCAATAATATCCAAACCATTTTGTCTAATTTGGCCTGTAACTTCTCGAATCTGAATTTTTCTACTCGAAAAAACCCTAAAATCGAAATTGGGTCCAAAATTGAGGGTTTTGCAAATCGTCATCAAATCTTGCAATTGAGGGGTCCTTGGAGGTCGGCCGGATGCCACGACCGCATTGGAGTGGATGCCCGCCGTCAATTTTGCCGGAGTTGGCCGGAAAACGCTCCGACCCGCCGGAAACCGCTGGCGGGTCGGAGCGTTTTCCGGCCAACTCCGGCAAAATTGACGGCGGGCATCCACTCCAATGCGGTCGTGGCATCCGGGCGACCTCCAAGGACCCCTCAATTGCAAGATTTGATGACGATTTGCAAAACCCCCAATTTTGGACCCAATTTCGATTTTAGGGTTTTTTTCGAATAGAAAAATTCAGATTCGAGAAGTTGGATATTATTGATTCTCGTATCAAGATGAAGAGAATGACATTGGTCCCGCCGGAATCGGAAAAAGTTCATTTTCCGGTGACTTTGACCGGCGGGCGGCGGCGGCAGGGCGTGGAAGAAAAGAAAAGAAGAAATGGGGTCAAATTGAAAATTTTAAACTATATAAAATTCGAATTTGGCCCTAATGACCGGAAGTTAACCTATAAACGGGCTAATGGCTCATTAGTGAAAGGATTGTGTAAGTTCAGGGATTTTTGTGAAAGGATTTGAAGTTTAGGTACCACTTCGAAATTACAGTGTAAGTTCAGGTACCATTACTGAAATTTACCCCATAGAACATGGATAAACTAGGTGCGACTAGTAACATTTCACAACTTTTCAGCACATTCTTGAAACTCTCAAAACTATTTGTGGTTAAAATGTCACACTTGTGTTGATACGTCCATCTTCCTAGCAATAGAGTGCAGATAGTGGATGGTGACATGGACGTGGGGAAGTGGCATTTTGTGGCATTTCATTTTGCATTGCTTTTGTTTTCCAGTATTTACATTTGCTACGCATGTTTACAGTAGCTTGCATAAGAATAGGTCAAGTAGTTGGGTCAAGTAGTGTTCCTTGTTTGTTGCATGAGAATAGGGCAGTAGATCCATAATAATCGTAGGTGGTTATTCTCACCTTCCTTTATTTAAGCACTTTCATTGTTCTTTTGGAGAAATAATAATAATATATCAGAAAATTGTCTTATCCTCCTCATTTCTTTCCTTCTCTCTTCTCTGATTTTGGTTTGATACTATCATTTGGTATAAGAGCCTCGATCCAATGGAAACCCGCAACAAAGTACAACAAGATAATAAGGCTCAGGAGATGAGCGACACCCTCAACCAACATGGAATGCAATTGAACAACCTGACCACCAGTCACCAACAATTAACCAAAGCTGTGCAGGCCATTCTTCAGAAAGTACAGTCTCTTGAAACCTCCCTCAACATCTTATGACTCTTCTTCGGTTCGTCCACCCGTCACGACAGGTCACCGTTCACTCATGTCAGCAATTCTCCACCTCAGACCAAACTTTTCTTCCTAAAGTTTTCCGGGACCGACCCGATTGGGTGAATTTATTTGTCGGAGCAGTACTTCGAGTTCGCCAAGATCCCTCCCGACCAACAAGTTTCCTTAGCTTCATTTCATATGGAGGGTATCGCCCTCCAGTGGCATCGGTGGTATACGAAGCTTAAAGGACCACTAACTTGGGATGAGCTCACGAATGCGATTCTACAACGTTTTAGACCGACTAAATCTGAGGATCCATCTAAGGCTCTCTCGCACCTAAAACAGACGACTACGATTGGTGCCTACACGGAGTCGCTCGAACAGCTCTCCTATCGAATTAATGGCCTTCTAGAGCCCTACCTTATTGGTTGCTATGTGGCTGGATTAAAGGATGAGCTGAGATACGTTATGAAGTTAAGCTGAAGAAACCGAGGAGCCTCCCTGAAGCAATAGCGCTCTCCCGCTTAATTGAAGAGAAATTCAATACAAAAAAAAAGTCCACACCCACTGGCCGCTTTACCCCTACTAGCTCATCCGCCCGTGTGACACCCCACAGACTTGGGCTCTTGGGACCCCATCCAAATACACGTTCAACAAAAAACCCTACTCCTCCTCCCAAAAACCAAGTCAGACGCATCACTAGCTCGGAAGCCAGAGAACGACGGGAAAAAGGCCTTTGTTATTATTGCGATGAGAAGTTTTTCCATGGTCACCGAAGTGCTAAACCCCAACTTTTCATGATTTGTGAGGTCAAGAATGAAGAAGTTATCGACATCTCCCAGAAGTCTCGTTCCATGCCATCACAGGCACCATACACACGCAAACTATTCGCTTGGTTGGAAAGATTGGTCACAAATAAGTTTTGGTATTGGTAGGCAGCGGCAGCACATATAATTTTATCAACCAATCTTTGGTTGATAAGTCTGGACTGTCTATGAACCGGGACAGCAAGCTTGAGCTGGTGGTGGCCAACCAATGCAAGAACGTTTGCAATGTGTAGGTCAAGTTTGGGATCTTACATTAACCATACAAGGTTACGGAATCACTACGGATTACTATGTTCTTCCAGTGGCAGCTTGTCCGGTGGTTGCAATGGCTTAAAACTTTGGGGCCGGTGGAACTCGACTACCAACAATTGACCCTCTGGTTCAAGGTGGGCGACTCGACTAAAATGTTGGAAGGTATCAGGCAGAATACTATGGGTTCGTCTGAGGAATTATATAGCAAGGAGCATCACAGTTTACAAGGGCTGGGATATTTGTTCTAGATCGAACAAGTCCACTTAGAATCTGGCGAGCAGTTTTCAACCTATCCTTTGGATCTACTTAGAACCAGTCCACTGCATCGAGCCCACAACTATCGAATCTTGCTGAAGGCAGCTTCCGGACCAGTGAGTGTACGGCCTTATTGGTACCCATACTATCAAAAAGCTGAAATAGAGAAAATGGTTCATGACATGTTACAATCGGGGGTCATCCGACTAAGCCATAACCCTTTCTCTTCCACCCGTGTTACTTGTCAAGAAGCATGATGCATCATGGTGCTTTTGTGTTGATTATAGGGCGCTTTATGAGCTCACCGTTAAAGACAAATATCTGATTCCCGTAATTGATGAGCTACTAGATGAGTTACAAGGCACTCGATTTTTCTCTAAACTTGATTTGCGCTCGGGGTATCACCAAATCAGAGTTCGGGAATAAGACATCCATAAGACCGCCTTTCGTACTCATGAAGGGCACTATGAGTTCACTGTAATGTCGTTTGGGCTCACCAACGCCCCAGCCACCTTCCAAGGTCACCTACGTCATGTTTTGCATATATTGAGCACCAATCACTTATTTGCCAAAGAATCCAAGTGCTCTTTTGGCATCCAAAAGGTTGCTTACCTTGGGCATATTATATTGATGCAAAATGTATTTTAAAAGATTATATATTTAAAATATATGTCAAAGTTTAACAAAACAAATGATGACGACTCCATTTTATTTGATTTTATTTTATTAAACAAGTAATAAAAGTATGAAAATAAACTTAGTAAATTTTGATCCTCAAACACTAAGCAGGCAAATTATTTTTGTCGATACTCTTAAAATTGAGATGGAATTTTATTTCACTCATCAGTGTTGGGGCAAATTTACCACATCAATTGTCATTGTAGATACCCATATTGATATACACTTGTACTCCCTCCATCCTAATTTAAGTTGCATATTTACGTATTACTTGGTCAAATTTTAACCACGTTGTTAACCCAATTTCACTACCCATTTGAGAAAATAATGTATTCTTATGACTTACATTTTTGTAGAACCTTTGATGTAATTTTTTACTTCTCCGGTTTTAAATATTGCCATATTTTAACTTTTTTAAACGTAGGGAGTAATATATAAATTTTTTTTTAATTTCTATTTTCAAATAAATTGAATTGAAATGCATTTACATTACCGAACATGATCATATACATTACCAAAAAGTATAGTAATATGCACATGTACAGTGTCACATTAAAACCACATTCCCATACTGTGAAGTCTTATTTCGGGGAAAAAAACATGAAAGTCCTATTTTGATATTTTTCTTTATGTTTTAGTCCTATTTAGGGTGATTTTTATTTTCTTTTTGGTCTATCCGGAAATATTATTCTCATTTTTTTGGTATGCTTTTTAAAGAAAAATTTTAATAATACTTTTCTATTTTTTTTTATTTTTTTTAATAAGAAAAGAAGACTTAAATATTTATAGAATGTGTATTTTTGGAAATATGGTACTTAAGTCAACGCGGCCCAAGTTAATATTTGACACGTTAAGCCAAAGAGACAAAGGGAAAAGGGAAAAGAAATGGTAAACCATTGAAAGGTCAACCATTGATGGAAGAACAGAATAGCGTGAGAATAATTGAAGAAGAAATAGTTTTGGATGGGGCAAAAAAGAAATAGTAACCCAATCCAGGGTTCATCATCATGATCATCTCGAGGGAAGAAGAAGAATCAAGATTCCCAGATGATAACAATAATGAAAATGGCGGCGGAGATAGTGAAGAAGGGGGAGGAGGCAAAGGAACGTGGAAGCACGCGGCTTTCCACGTCGCCACCACCATAGCCACGCCGGCAGCGTTTGCTCCGCTGCCCTTTGCCGTTGCTTCTCTCGGTTGGCCTCTTGGTAATTAATTTCATTTTCAGCTCATCTAACCTCCCATACATGGAATCGACTGTGCATCCTCTCCCCCCCTTTTCGTTGTTTTGATTTGGAGGAGTTTCATTTCACCAAAACTTGCCTTGCCAAAGTCACTGTCTAAGTTGAACTTTACTTTGGAGATTTCAAGTATATGCTATCCTTAGACCTTGGTCTTTTGGATTGCAAAACAAAAAATAGAGTTAGACATTAGAAGAAATTGAAATGAGTTGGAAGAAACTGGAATGAGTTGGAATTAGTGTCATTGCTCGGTTTGATAGTTAAGTGTAATTTACATTTCATGTGGGGTGTATGGTCAAGATGTGACACTCTTGTAATGCACTATTACATTGGGAAATCAGGAGTAGCTAGTTTGGTTAGCGGGACACTGATCGCTTGGTATTCTAGCCTACTGATTGCGTCACTTTGGAAATGGAACGGGAAGCTGCACACCACGTATGGCCACCTTGCCCAAAGCATTTATGGTTGGTTTCTTTCTTTTTGTCGTCCTTAGAATAAAGCTGGATGTTATTTATCTTTTATTATAGGACCCATCATTATGTGTGTGAAAATGGTACTTAGTCAAAACCTGCACTTATTAAACTATGTTCATAAGCAGAACTTTTAGTGTTCAATTGTGAACGTGCGCTATGTAAGAAGGAAAGGTATTGATGTTTCACGCCTATAACAAATCATATTTTCTGAACTGGTGAAGGGCTGTGGGGTTTCTGGTCTGTTGCATTCTTTCAGCAAGTGGCTTCTCTTGGCAATAATATTGCCATTCAGATTGCTGCAGGAAGCAGCCTTAAGGTGACCCTTGCATCTTTCTTTCTCATTTTTTCCCTTCTTAATTTTAACTTGTCCTTAAGCTGATTTGCTACGACTAATTGCAAATAAGCTCGGCGTTGCAGGCAATATACAAGTACTACCAACCTGATGGGAGCCTAACTTTGCAACATTTCATCGCCTTTTTTGGAGCTTTTGAACTTGTTTTATCCCAATTCCCAGACATTCATTCATTGAGATGGGTAAATGCTCTTTGCACTTTCAGTACCATTGGTTTTGCTGCCACAACCATCGGAGTATCGATATATAATGGTAAATCGCCCCGCACCTTTCCCCCTACCTTATTGCTGAAAAGTTTTTTCTTTATTTGAAAATCCCAATCTCTCTAGGAAAGAAGGCCGATAGAAGGTCAGTCGATCATCGTGTTCATGGCAACATATCTTCTAGAACATTCAAGGCCTTCAATGCTCTGGGATCAATTGCCTTTTCATTTGGGGACGCAATGCTTCCAGAAATACAGGTACTTTTCTGCTCAATTCCAGTAGATGAAACTCTCATTGGGTTCTGATCCTTGGCCGGTTTGGCTGTCTAAAACTCATTTCCCAGAATGCTGTGAGAGGACCTCCCAAAGAGAACATGTATAAAGGCGTGTCAGCCGCGTACGGCGTCATCATTTTATGTTACTGGCATTTAGCCTTCTTTGGGTATTGGGCATTTGGTTCAGAAGTTCAACCTTACATTCTGGCTTCTCTCACTTCTCCAAAGTGGACAATCATAATGAGCAACATCTTTGCAGTGATTCAAATATCAGGTTGCTTCCAGGTAGGTATATACAAAGGGTCCGAAGAAAACTGGATATTTGACCCCAAAATCAACTAAACTTGCACGTGCAACTGACGTGATTTGGGGATGGGCTGGGATCGGGACTGGGAACTATCAATTTTACAAACAGAGCACCGAAAGTGTTCCAATTGGGACAGTGTCCTCCGTGGCCACTCAAAGAGTCGCCATGAAACTGGAGCGATATACAAAACATGTTCCCTGCCCAAAAAAAGAAACATCTCATTTACCTCTTAGAACTCTTTTAGGGTCCGTTTGGTATAAGGAATTGGTGGAATTGGAATTGAATTGAAATTGAAATTCCATGGGATTCAATTCCATAGAATTGAATTCTGTCAATTTCAATTCATTTTTTGCACTATCAATTCCAAATCCACATAATTTTTGTGCTACCAAACACCAGAATTGGAATTGAAGTCCCCAATTCCAATTCCATAGTTTGAATTCCATGTACCAAACGGGACCTTAGTGTGTGATTAAGACTAACAATTATTATCTTAAGGGTTGTAAAATTGAAAATTGTTATCTTAGATATACTGCAGGCCAACATTTGCATACTTTGAGGGGAGAATGAAAATGAAATCGCCAGAGGAAAGCAGCAAAGGCAAATCCCACAGGCTGCGCGAGTGCCTGATCCGCCTGTCTTTTACCTCGCTTTACATGGGCATTGTGACACTAATCGCGGCGGCAATTCCATTTTTTGGGGATTTTGTAGCCATATGCGGAGCCATAGGCTTCGCCCCCTTAGATTTTGTGTTCCCTGCGTTGGCACATCTGAGAGCCGGTAGGAGTTGCCGGAACACAAAGCTCCGGCAGCTTGTGAAGGTCCTGAATGTAGCAATCGCCGTCTGCTTCTCGGCTGTGGCGGTTTTGGGATGCGTTGGTGCGATCAGGTTTATCATTTCAGATGCCAGAACCTACTCGTTCTTCCATGATATGTAGAATGGGAACACATAAAAAAACAAAAAAGTCATTTCTTTGTTTCTTTCAATCAAACTGCTGTATTTAAAATGTTTCTAAGCGTTCCCAATCATTTGACACACTTGTTCTATTATACATCCGGTTGTTCTGGTACAACGGGCAAATTGTGATCCAGAGGTGAAGCGCCCGATGAAAGAGGGAGCAACCCTGGGCGATCACGGATTCACAGGGAGACCGTTGGCACAGAGGGAGCAGTGCTGGGCGGAAATTCAGATCTGTTTTGTACCTTAGGAGAGGCAGGCTTGGACAACAGTAGGCTTGGGCGGCGAGGAGAATTGACGGACGATGATATAGATTAGACCGTAATGACGATCGAGAACACCGATGATGCAGCTGTTGCTGAGCAAACCCCCGACGGTAGAATGAGGACGGTAGAATGAACATAAGGTTGCTTCACAAGGAACACTCCTTGTTTTTAATAATGAACGTTTCGTTATTTCAGAATGAACATTACGCTCAGCAAACTCGGAACGAATAATATGTTGTTTAGAATGAAAACTAAGTTCTTTCTAAATAAGTAGTCCCTACGTTCCCCATATGTCTTTCAGACACTATTCACAAGGTCAAATTTAACTCACTTTATTTTTACTTATTTTTTATCCATTTCATAAAATAGTAATTTTGTCACATCTTGTATTGTAGATTTTTTTATGTAGTTTTTCATTACATACTCCCTCCGTTCATGAACATTTGTTCACTTTTGACTTTTTTCAGTCAAAATTGATAAATTTTAACCTCAAATTAAATAAAAATGATATTAGATATTTATACAAAAGTTGTTTTATTAGATTTATTATATCAAATATTTTCAAAGTATAAATTTATCTAATTAATATACAATATACATTTTATTTAGTTATAGATTTAAGGTTGAAAACAATTGACCGAAAAAAGTCAAAACTGGACAAATACTCAAGAATGGAGGTAATAAATTTTATTTTTAAATTTTACACTTACAATCAAATAGACTGAATTAAAAACAAAGTCGGTCAAACTTCGTAACACATACTGAGAAGATCTATGGGGGACGGAGGGAGTACTAACTCCCTTTGTCCAACAATAATGTTTTCATTGCGCGTTACGATGTTTGACTGAACTGAATTTATTTTCAAATCATTTTATATGAAAAATCATATGGAATTAAAAAAATGAGCAACGAAAAATACGCTTACAAAATGAATAAAGTTTGACCCTGTGAATAGTGGACGAGAACATTATTATTTGACGTATGTAGTAATTCTAATAAACGAATGTGTGAACATGAACATTGTTTTGATTCAAAATGAACTTTATAATGATTCAAAATGAGTATTTGTCAGGTGTACCTAGCTCTAGGTATACCCAGTTATACCGTAAACGTTCTTCGCTGGACATGTTTTATCATGCAATTATATCCTACAATCTGCACGAGAAAAACTGTACAACCAATGTTAATTTGTGCAATCGAGAAGGAATAGCAGATTGATAAATTGAAACCCTTGATGTGGCGAAGAGGTATGCCACAGTGTTGAGCACAAAGTTGGCGTTGCGAAGGGTTCACGAGCAACAGGTAGCACAATCGTGTCAAGCGCCGCCGCCCACTGCCCAAATCGTGGGTAGTTAGGCGCGCAACTTTAGGGTCGCGTTGTTGCCGTCGTCGCGTTGTTGCCGTCGTCGCGTTTGAAGCTCGAGGAGGTTATGGCTGTGGAGTTTGAAGCAATGAAGAATGGTGGTGGTGGTGGTCTATTTGAAATGGATATTTTGGTACTTTGCCCGTAAATATTTTCTAAATGAATATTATGTTAATTGCAAATAACATTTTATATAATTTTAATAGACGCGCATGTTTGTTTTCAAATATGGATACATATTTGAGCAAATGTGCAAAAATATGTGTTTTATGTTTCACAAATGAACAATTGATGGATGTAGAACTAAAGTAAAAACATGAAAAATGAACATTCTTTTACTCTAAAATGAGTATTAGTCGGATATACATAGAGCTAGGTATACACGACTGTATGGTTTACCAACTCGTTCTTTTAAATTGGGAAATTTAATTTTATGTTTATTCTAAACACTTCTAATTTTATTTTAACTTCTTTCAGTTTTTCCAACGTATTCTAATTTTGCCAAGTATAACTTAAAAAAATTATTTAGGCGCAACGACGGATTAGAAATCTAGTTTAAACAACAATAATTCACTTGAATCTCACAAAGTAGAACCTAAGAAAGTATATGTATGTAGACCTTGTGTGTACATGAAAGTAGGGAGACATGGAGACATGCGGAAACAGTTAAATAAACTCCGTAATTAAAATTGATGCAATAACATCTTTAAAAAAAAAATTGATGCGATAAAAAGTCAAATCGAGAGAGGAATCCGCAGGGGCAACTGGCAATTGGCAAGGAGCAAATTACTCCGTACACCGTGATGTTCCAGTTCTACTCCGTAAAAAGAAACTTTGCTTTCTTTCCCTCTCCCATCGGGCCTAGGGTTTCACGTCGTTAGTAACTTGTTACTGGTTCCTCCCCAATCTATCTTTCATCCACAAAATGCGGGGCGGTTATAATTACGATGCTTTCATGTCCGGTACGGCGGCCGCCGAAACCCCCGGCGGTTCCCGATTCCGGTCTCTAGCCTCCTTCGCGCCGCTGCGGCCATGGCGCGAGCTCTTCGCCCACCCCTCCTCCTATTCTCTTCCACATTCCCTCGCCGATCTGGTCTCCCGCCTCCGCCTGAAGCTCGGCATCTTCCGCATGAACTACGCCCTCGCAATGCTCTTCATCCTCTTCCTCAGCCTCCTGTGGCACCCCACGTCGATGATCGTCTTCCTGCTGGTGTTCGTCGCCTGGTTCTTCCTCTACTTCTTCCGCGACGGCCCACTGGTGGTCTTCAGCCGCATTGTTGACGACAGGGTCGTCCTGGTTGCTCTGAGCGTCGTGACGGTGGTGTGTCTGGTGCTGACTCACGTCTGGCTCAATGTTCTGATCTCCGGTCTGATCGGATCGGCGATTGTTGCTCTCCACGCGGCATTCAGAGTCAACGACGACCTGTTTCTTAACGAAGATGAAGCGGCAGAGAGCGGATTGCTCTCCTTTGCCGGCGGCGGCGGCGGCTCCGGTGGTCTGCCGCCTCGAGTGTCTCCTAAAACTGGATCTTCAGTGGTAGGGGTAAATCTGTAATTGTGTAAGCACTTCCCTTTTGTGTGTGTGTGTGTGTACTCTTGTGAAGAAACTACAATGTGTGTTTTCGAATGGGATTTTCAGTTTTCATAGAGCAACCAAAATAAACATTACATTCTACAAAACATAAAGAGTGGGATGAACTCATCCTGTGATTATTAGCAATATTGTTATTATTACTCAAAAGAATAAGGACTTGATTTGTCACAAATATGAAATGCATCTCTAAATGAATTTGAATGAGCAGTCTTCAGAGGTTTGAGTGCCCGCGGGTTGAACCCGGTGACGCCCGTATGCCAACATCATCACGAAATCCTTTGCCGAAGAACCAATTGCGGCGGACACTCTTTCGGGGGTAGTCATTTCAAGCCACAAATCAACCAAGTTTTTGAGCTGTAGTGTGGGTGCTATTGGTTGCCCCATACATCTAATCTCAACCTGTTGCATTGACTTGCAAGAATGTAAAACATGACCAAAAAATGCTGCAAATGTTTTGTTTCACCAATGCATTTGTCTTGAGAGGAATTAAATATGCAGTAAATACAATACAAAGCTTCTGTTGTAGTCAGTATTCACTCGAATTTTATCCAAATGCATCGCCGTTTAACTGCTAAAAATGATCAACCGAAGGGCAAAAGGGTTAAATGGGAAAGTTACCTCGTCCTCAGTCTTGAGATCTAACTTCCTCATCAAGTACTTTTGTATATAAGAAACTGGAATACTCCCATCCCTGCAAATAATGAAACAAGAACAAAACCAGTGGGTGGCTTCAGTTGCTTATATTGTACAGTTCCAATGTACAGATTAACCATTCTAAGTGAATTGCAATGATGGATGTCAAATACATTATGGCATCTAAGGTATACCAAGGGAACCCTGATGTACTTGAACATTAAAGTGCTGGCTCAATTTGAAGAGTACGAAATAAAGATGTAACATATTGCAATTGCCCCTTTGCAGATTTCTTAAAAATGGATTCAAACTCCACGAAGAAACCACATAATGATAAAATCGATAAAAATAAAACCAACTAAGAGCATTTTTTGGGAGAATGGATTTATGGACATATCAAAGAGGTAATAGAGTTGCCCCAATAAGGCAATAAAAATGCAGAGTTATGACAAAGGGAGCAGAAGCCGAGATAAGAACAAGATCACTCACTTTATTCTCAAGTAGCTTGCAGAAATCTGGGGTAGGGGTGCTCCTCCTTCCCTGAACCAAAATGACAATGAAAATTTGAAACCATAGAAAGCATAAGTGAAAAATTAATCCACAGAATCCGAGAGGTAACACAGAATCTCACTGGTTTGCAGATGCCACAAGCGAGAACCAAATTGGTTTAGCCCTTGTTTCACATATAGCAGTTGTTGCATCAACCACAGCCTGTGGTGAAACACCAAAGTCTCCAGAATTTGAAGCTTTCTTTCGAACTCTTCGTATCTTTTTAGGGTTTTCTGATACGGGATGGGCATGATTACCGTTACCAATGTTGTCAATATTTAATTTGACTTTGTGAGCTTGGCCCTCATTGTCAGCAAGATGTGTAGGTTCAGCTTGGGCACAACCTTGCAAAGTAGACCTTGAAGGCTCGGTCATTTTTGCAGCTCCAGCTAGACAGCTTAGAGGTTTCAACAGATCAGCTTTTCCATTACACTGCTCAGAATTATTCTCTGTTCCTCCTTGATCTTGGCCAGATGGCTTGGCATTTGAAGAAGATTTCTGTAAATGAATGAACATGATAGAAAGACGTTCTAGACAAAGATGTTGACGGAAAAATCATAAGAAATCCCATTGCAAGCAAACTTAACATGTCTTACATTTTGGGTGAACTTGTTAAGAGTCTCTGGCGAGCTAGAGCTCTCAGCAGGCTGATCCTCTGTTGATTTGTCTTCATTCTTCTCAATGGGAAAACTGGAACATTCTTCATTCCTCAGAGGTTTCTCAATGGGAAAACTGGAACATTCTTCATTCCTCAGAGGTTTCTCAATGGGAAAACTGGAACATTCTTCATTCTTCAGAGGTTTCTCAATGGGAAAACTGGAACCTTTCATTGGTTTTCTTGCAACAGATTTGGATCTTCTTCCTGTCATCCCACCAGTTTGAGTACAAGAAACACTCGGTGTGCTGACCACTAATGAAGAAAGTGATCTCTCCTTTCTCCTCACTGGTGGTAATGTTGGAACTGATGGCAATACAATTTCAGCTGCCGTAGTCACTTTTTGTCTCTTGTAAGGGAAGATCTTCAGCCTCACATCTTGCAAACTATGATCGGCCCTGGAAACAACATAACCAACTCTCACACAACATACCCAGTATAATCCCAACTCTGTTTGGGCTCCGAAGTCAAGATGTACACAATCGTAGCCCAATAAAGAAAGAGGTTTCCGTAAGACCCTTTATGCATTCATGCAAGTACTTCCCAAAACTTCATAGAAGTAAGAAGCAATGGAAGGTTAATGTGACCTTTTGATTTAGTCCATTATTACACGAAGCTAAAACACCGTCATGAATGACTTTTTAGCTCCATTGGCATTGATGCAACTCTTACTGTGTCCCTCATAATTAGAAAGTGCTGAGAAATATGATTTTTAATGGGGGAACAAGCAAAAAAAACTAATCTTTATAACGGTTGTATGTAGCACAGGTGGTACCACTTGCCTAGTACAACCCAATATATATTAACACTCCCTCCCTCCCAAAAACCATCACCCACTTTGACTTTCACAAAGTTTAAGAGAAATGTTGAAAAGTAAAAAGTGTATAGTTAAAATTTGTTTAGACGAGAGAAATCTTGCGAGCCACGTATTCATTACTAAAAAAGGATATAAAGTAAGTGAGAAGTGTATCTTTAGACGTTAAAAAATGGAAAGTGGGTAAAGTTTTCTTGGACGGAGGGCGTATCACCTCAGATTGTAGCGAACTCAGCTTATATTGCAACAATCGATAACTTTTAACCAATTTAACTCATGAAAACTATCTGTCACCTAGCACAGATTTTTTATCTGCACTCCCTCGTTGTGGGGATCTAGGTGGGAAACACCATACTTCGCAAGGATCAATATTAATATTATCATTATTTTCTTAAAATGCATCTGTACAAACTAACAAAAACTAACTACAAATTCGAGCAATCTGTTTCACCTTTTTAGTTCATTGGCATATGGTTTTCCAGACTAAAAAGAAATTAAAAGATATCCCAGAGTTTGAATGTCCGGAGATCATTGAGTACTTAAACATGAATTTTCATGTAAGAACAAAAAAAAGAGGAAGACGCAGCAATAAGTAGGGAGTTGTAGAAACGGTCTGACCTCAGTTTCTCGACTGGGACACAGCCTAACTCAATGTTACATATCGGGCAGCATTCTGTCTCCTCATCCTGAAGCTTCTTATAAATGCATTTCCTACAAACTGATGAGTAAAGTGACACACTATCAAAAGGTCATCCTCTTCGATTCATCGTGGCCGAAAATACAGTGTTATAAATTCCAGCTCACCTAATTTAATGAAGATCGATGGAGGAGGAATGGCAACAAATGTATAGGACAATTAAACTATTACAAAAGTCATAACAATAAGCACATAAAAAAACAATAGAAAGCTGCTAAAATTCTTGCCCAAAGTACTAATTTAGCTTCCTAGAATGCTCTATATTCCCAACCAACTGGAAAAATAAGTCTTTTAGCTCAGCGAATCGACAATAAATGGATGGAGGAGAAGCCAAGCGCCACAGCACAAAATTAACACAGTTTGGAATTGGGAGCAGAGGGAGGGAGGGAGAGAAAGGGGGACTCACACGTATGGAGGCATTCAGAGATTGTGGTGGCCTCTCTGAAGAGCCTATGGCAGAGGGGGCATGTCATGCATGACGCAATCGCCTCCCTCCTCACCTTCACCACCTGATTCGCCGCCATCGCCTCCTCCTCGCCGCGGCGGTGCATGTCAGAGCCGCCGCATGAGACACGACGGCACTTTACGTCGCCCCTCCACCACCTGCATTAATAAACTCGGACACACACACACACACACAAATAAAACCCCGCAGATTGCGGAACAGATTGCGGGTCGGGCGCGGGTTAATTAAGGTCTGGGTCGGTTTAATTTGGCCGGAGTTGGGGTGGGTGGGCGCCGGAGATGATCCGTGTATGGGGGAGTTCCGGGAGTCCGTCCCAATCGAGAAAAGTTCACTCTCACATGAACGAACGGGGAAAACTGGTTCTTGGCTTTATGCACCCCACTCTATTCTTTTGCCTCTCTAAAACAAGACTCGTCATGATATATATATATATATATATATATATATATATATATATATATATATATATATATATACACACACACACTCTCGCACTCCCAAAAGAGAGAGGCATAGACGAATGAATCCTCGGTAGTTTTGCTTTAAAATTTAACGATGGGTAATTCTCTAATTCATGAAAACTCAGGTCAGAATGGATAATCTCCAAACACGCCACAACCTATACGTTCAACTTTTTTTCATTGGATCGTACAAAACAAAAGCAAAAACTGCGCCAGGGTGCAAAGTAACCGGTCGCATACCTAGTGTTTTTTAAAATGGAGCATGCTACATATTTGTATCCCACAATTGGTATCGTGTTTATACACTAAAGTTATGTACCAACATTTTGATGGTTCAAACTGATACAAAGTGTTGGTATATATGTACATATGTATTCCAAAATTTGTACCCTGTTTGTACACTAAAAATATGTACCAACATTTTGATGGTTCACACTGATACAAAGTGTTGGTATATATGTACATATGTATCCCAAAATTTGTACCCTGTTTGTACAATAAAAGTATGTACCAACATTTTGATGGTTCACACTGATACAAAGTGTTGATCCGTTAACAAAAAATTACACTAACACAAAGTGTTGGTGCGTCAACAAAAACTAGCATTACACTACCACAAAATGTTGGTGCATCCCTGCGGTGTACAAAATGGGATACAAATATTTGGAATACAAATAGCTTTATCCTTTTTAAAGATACTTCTGTTATCCTTCATTTTGAAAAAGTTAACTATCGGGTATCTTATATTTTTAAAATATACTTCGGGATATCTCCAAATGTAAATTAACTTATCCGTGAGGATATTTTGTTTCATCCGAAAGTTTTAATTTAACTGGATAGATCGTATCCATAAAGTATAAGAACCAATGTTATTTTTGGAATTCCAAACCCGTATTTCTTAAAATTAATGGCGTAACTGCTTTCAAAGTGAACAACTTTTGATCATCAACTAAATATAAATAATATTATGTATAAATATAAAAATGATTTAAAATAACTATAAAAAAGCGAGCTAAATATAAATAATATTACGTATGAATATAAAAATTATTTAAAATAACTACTCCGTAAAACAACAAGCTGAACAAACACATTAAAACACATAGAGTGATAGACAATAAACTTTAATTTATGATTAAAAAAAGAGTGTTAAACTTATGGTAAGAGGGAGAAGCATAAAATTATTAAGAACCACAAAAATACCACAAAAATGATAGTTTAACTTTTAAAAAAATTGATGGTTTAAATTTACTTTTAGAAAAAACGAACTACACACACCTATAGTGCCGAGAGATAATTGTCATTGTGTTGTATAAACTCATTCATGAAAATATGGATCAACGGTGGTAACTCTTAATGATATGAATCTACGTCGTCCATGCCTTGGCATGGATAGTGATGGTGTTGCCTAGAATTGCTCAATTGAGTCTTCTAATTTGTGGTGTTGCATAGTTTCAACCATATATGTATGCTCCAATTCTATCCTAAAATGAAACGCGAATTGGATTTGTGTTTGTAACGGGATCATGGGAAGTATTGTATCATGCATGCACTAACCAAACATGATACTCCCTTCCGTGTCTAATTTTTCTTTTTTTTTTTTTTATTGCTTTTATGAGTTTTATCCACTTGACTTGGTGCATGGTTTTCAACTTCATTAATACTCTCTCTGAGTCTTGGGAAAATGTGAAGAACAACTACTTTAGCATCAATTTGTCTATTGGTGTCTCTTAGCATGTTTTGTACTCCGGTAACTTGTAAGTATAAGTTTTGATGAATGGCAAACAGTGTATAAAGTTGATGGATACCCTAGATATAGAGTATCCGGTCTTTGTATAATACTCCCTTCGTCCTAAAACCATCTTCCCAACTTTCCATTTTTTTTCCGTCCTAAAACTATCTCCCCACTCTCAAAAAAGGAGTGTGTAATGACAAAAGTAGCCCTTAGCTTCAATTTTACTTTCAACCTTGGGATTCTCCACACCCTCTCACCTTTTCAATCATCCCCTCTCTCATCTCTCAATCTACCATATCTCCATCGTCTCTTTCCTCTCCCGACCCTCAAACCCTAGATCTAATTCTTCTGGCCCTCAAAAACCTTGTCTCTGTCTCTTCTCTCAATCTACCATGTTCTCAAATTGAAAAAGAGATCGTTACTGTTCCCTGTGTATCCTTGGTAGGCCATTCCAATCAATTTTGTGGCTCATTTTCTGTAATTCTTGTTCTTTTTTATTCGTATTCAATGGGAGAACATGTTAAATATATTAATTATTTTAATATATTTAATATTATATATTATATTTATGGTTGTTATCTATTATAGTTAGAGTTATTATAATACAATATTTCCTTATTTATCTAGCCATTAATATGGAGAATTCTAGAATACTCCAACTCCACCTATATATTCATTACCTTGTATTCCTCTAAATTATTCAAGCAAAAAAGCATTATTTGTTATTTTTACAGAACAAGTTCCTTCGCCCAATCATGTTGATTTGGAGTAGAAAATTCCTGAATTGAATTTCAACTCCAATGAATGGAATGCTCCCTTGTTGTAAAATTACAGGATTTATTGATAATTTGTGGGTGATTAAAGACGACTAAAAATGCTCCTCGAGTTTCCAAACCTGGTTCACCGTTCCAAACAAGATTCCTGACAGCCATATTAGGGGGCATTTTGGGAAGGTCAAAGCCATATTTACACCTCCCATAAAAATCAGGTTTAGTCAAAGTGGGAAGGTCTTTCTAGGACAGAGGAAGTATTAGTCAGGGTGGTCTAGTCTGTTGGACTTGTCGTTAGTCATATAGTAGTTACTTATTTAGGGATGGCCCAGTATGTTGGACCAACCCATTAGTTTTGTATATGGGTCTAAACCCGAGCCTTGATTCCCCCCCTATTTATACCCATCTTCCTATATAAGATGGGATTAACTTGAAAAAAAATAGAAGGCATTAGAAATTTGCCTAAAATAATGAAGGGCGGGGTTAACTTGGAGAACAAAAAAATATGAGATGAAAACACCCAAATTAGACGGCACACATAAAAATCCTCGAGAGGGCATCCCAACGCTAGATCCCGCAGAGGATCCTGATCAACCACCTCGCCACTTGAAGGCCTGCACCTATCAAATGTCTTTCTAGGGGGATTTAAATTCCCACGAGCCAGGGAAGGGCGCTCTAAACGAGGTGATGAGGACGGTCCTGCTTAAGGCACAATGTGTTAAGTCCTGCAGAGGACAAAGTCATTAGCGCCATGCCACGTACTCCAACACATCATCAAAAAAAGAAAGAAAAGAAAAAAAGGACAAAGGAATTTCTCATATTCTGTCTTCCATGTACAAAGTGGAAGACCTCAAGGCATATTCAACTCTAGAAATTTTAGCGTGGTCTGCCCGCCTAGAAGAGCTCAATATGGACAACCACAATAGGCCCTCACATTTTCTACTAACCCTTGTTTTGAAGGATGAGCTCCCGCCCTTTCGTGGATCACACATTATTTCACCAAGTTCATTTCTTGAGGTCGGCCTCAACCACCTCGCGAGGTAACTTAAGCCCTCACCTCCTAAGGAAACTTAAGCCCTCGCCTCCCGAGGCAACCTAAGCCCTCGTCTCTCAAGGCAACCTAAGCCCTTTCCCTAGGTCGGCCCCAGCCAACTCGCGAGGCGCTCACCCATCTCGAGGTTGGCCTCAACCACCTCCCAAGTTACATAGGCCCTCGTCTCCCGAGGCATCCCAAATCCTCTCCCTATGTCGGCCTTAGCCACCTAATACTTACGCCCTCTCCTGGGATCGGCCCCAACCACTTCACATGAGGCACTCGACATTTTTCCCTAGGTCAGCTTCACTACAAAAAACTTGATATTTTGTGGCACCAAATTTTGCCACAAAAGATAAAAAATTAGCCACAATAGTTATTTGTAGCAATTTTGGAATTTGCCACAAGGTTGCCACAGATACCCCGTTACAAAAGGTATTTGTGGCAAATTTGAATTTGCCACAAAAATTAAAGTTTTTGTGGCAAATTATGATTTGCCACTAATAAATATTTGCCACAAAAGGTCATGTTTAGTGGCATATTTTAGTTGCCACAATTTATTATTTGCTACAAAAAGTCATATTTAGTAGCTAATTTATGATGCCACAAATTATACTTTGCCACAAAAATCCATGTTTAGTAGCAAATATTAATTGCTACAATTATCACTTTTTTGTGGCAAACCTAATATTAGTAAGAATTAATAAATTATTATATATATATATATATATATATATATATATATATATTTGTATTGTACATAAATTTTACATTTAATAATATATGCAAAGTGATGTAAAATAATAATAAAAACAAAGCATATATGATACTCATAATTCAATCCCAAACTATCAAAGGTTCACAATTGTTAATATAATAGTGTTTTGACATAAAATAAATATAGTACTAAACATGACAATTTGTTATAGTATCATAAACGCTTAACATCTAAACTTCATCTTTTCATTTCATCTTGTCACATCTATCTCGAATGTAATTCTACCAAAGTCATAGAAACTGAATGGCATCTTTCATATTCACCCTTGATCTGCATATTAAAAAATAAAATTAATAAAGAAATAATCTAGTAAGACAAATTAAATAGTGTTTAAAATGAACATAGCAACCAGAGCTAAAGGCATGATCAGATATCTATGGGAAATATATAAAAGAGTTTAATGACAGTAATAATAAATATTAGTGTTATTTATTAAATTTTACTTCAAAGAAATCTATGTACAATATTATACGTAATAACCAAAGAATTCTAAGAAAATAAAATTCTAAAACTCTAAGAAAATAAAACTATAATTATAAGGGACCATGTTTGTACTGTCCTTGTATGCTTTGCAAGACACTGAAATAGATAGGTACTCAGCCAAATAGATAGATATGCTTTGCAAAATTAGAGGTTACTCAGACACTGAAATATAACGCCACATTTCATAACCTAATTAAAACCAATCAAAGTTAGGTTCAAAGTTTCAAGTCTGCACTACAAACTCAACCACCAAAGCAAGCGGTGTAGTAGATAGGAACTGAAGATTCAAAATTGACTGCCTCTGCAATTCTGGATGCTGAATGTAGTGACCCAAATTATCATTCTCTAACCCTAACTTATTGAGTGGGAAAAAGGCAGAGATGAAACAGGCAGTTACTTCAAATGGATTGACATCAGACCAATCAAACATATTTTGCATGACAAATAGTGCAGAAAACAAGGCCACAAAATGTACAAAGTGGCAAACTGTACAAAGTGATTCACCACAAAATGAAAGCAGCTAATTAAGTGGGAAGCCAATGAGAAACAGTAATAAATATTTCATAGATGCATGAGTACCTTGTATCATTCGAGGGGGCTAGGCTCCTTGGAAGTGAAATGAACATACTGAGATGAATTACCTGATGCCTGTATACAAAAGATAGCTAGGCCGATAAACAGTAATCATATGCATCTTAAAATACATAAAAATGTACGAGAACTATATATACCTCTGAACGTGGTAAAGAAGCCAATCTTTCCTCTAGAGCACGGATACGAGCTTCATAAGTTTCATTAATTTCAGACACTCTTTTATTCACTTCAGTATCAATCCTCTCTTGCTCATGAACCTTTGTAATATCCTTCTTCACATAAGAATGAAATGACAACACTCCTTGTCCCATGCCCCTTTGATGATTTGACCCTTTTTTATGTTTAAGGACAATCTCAAAAGCCTCTTGTGGAGTGAGATTATCTTCTCCATATTTATCTAGTTGTTCCTGATGCAATGCTTTGAGATCATCATACGCTTGCTCTGCATACTCATCCGACCAAGTGCCATTTTTACGTTTCTTAGACATTTCCCATAGGGCCAAATAGTATGGTTTGTCTTCCACGTGTTCAGTTTCTGATAGATTCTCTTCATCACACTCATCTGAATCTGGTTTCTTTGCTTGTAGCTAAAATTTTAAAGATTGTGTTAATCATAGGGAATGTAAAAAATCTAATTTCCTACCAATAGTAACCTATGAATTGAAATATTAAATGAACTTCAAAAGAAATAGAAACATTAAATGCAAAGATATTTTACCATATCGTAGAAGGAACTTGCAATTGATTTTGTGCCAACTTTAGACAACATTGTTTGAGACTTCTGATTATTTTTGTTTGTCTCACTGCGTCGCTGCAATTCCAAACACGAAAAGGAAAAATGAACCATGCTTAAAAGATGAATATTGTTTTTCATTTAATGTTTGCATGGCTATGGGAAGAACAGAACTAACAAGTATCTTTACGTACACTAAACTTTTCACTATCCCAGTAACTCACCAACTATTTCCATTCTTCAGGATCTACTTCACTAGGACAATTAGCAAGACGACCAGCAACTGTTGGATGATCAGAATAGGCTTTTTTTCTCAAATCGTAACGCCACTTTCTATACCAGGTGTTTGCTCGCCTTTTGATTGCTTTTTCCACATGACGCCCTTCAGGCAATTTAAATAATTCCTACATATAATAAAAGTGTTAATCTTCATCTCTATGATCATTATCTAAACAATAACATATTTCCTAACTTAGGGTTATTCCAGATGAAATAGAAGAGCAAGGCAGGCTGGTTAAGCTAGTATCTAACAGGCATAGAGGCTCTCTTCATATTAAATTTTATCCATAGAAAGGTTCATACCAAATGAGGTCGGAGCCAAGTTTATGCCTGCTGCAAGTGTGGTTAATGCCACGTGTATTCTAGTTGCAAGTGGACAATGATATTATGATCACAAGGCCTTTAAGAGGGGTCAAAATACGTTAAGAAGAGGGCTGAACTAGTTGTAGAGGGGGCTGAAGTTGCTAAATCAGAGGAAAAAATAATACATACTGGATCAAATAAATAGAGGCAGCTATTTAATTTAACAAAAACCCAATTTGTCACAAGTACAAGGATGGTGACTCTGCCTACCTTGGACTAGTTCAACCTTTGCAAGTTCCTACTGAAGTTTGGAAAGATGTCTTTAGAAGGAGGGCTTTAGGAATTTGATACTACCAAATAAGGGTTGTAGCAGCTAGCCAATTCACATAGATCTGACAAGGATTTTGTATGCAGATATTGGTTCCAATAAATCCAGAATCATTCATGATTAACCATAGACTGAGATCGTGGCTATGAAAAAACAAGCAGAAGAAGAATAAGAGGGAGGAATTTTGATTCAAAAATAAAAACACCTTTATGATATTCACTCTTACTGAACAAAATAAAATTTCTTAAACTATGGGAATTTTAAACAAAAATTCACTGAGATTATGACAATGAAAAACAATTAGAGGAAGAACAAGGATGGATACTGATTAAAAACTCAAAATCCATATAGGATATTCACTCTTATAGAACAAAAAAATTCTTGAGTAATTGAAATTTAAAATCAAGATTCAACTATGAAGAGTGAACATATCTGAATTCATATTTCATAAACAACGAGAATTTATACTAAAACACAAACAAAAACTTGAATATTTTTAAGAATAAATACCTAGCTCTGGAGTTTGGGTGTGCCGTCGTTCCAGAATCGAAGAAACTAGCGTGTCCAGAATGAGATATAGGCTATTGCGCTGCAACAATTGCAATATTCTCCGTATATTACAATCGTCTCTCGCTTCTGGGCGTGAAATCGTTTTGGCGAGAAGATAGACACGGCAGACCTAAATTATGGAGGGATTAATATTTCACAATTTGGGTTAGGCGGGATTAGGAAAATAAGTAAATAACTTCCGTAAATTTGCCCTTAATATTTTCCCTCCACACTTATTTAGATTTAGTGGCATATTTATAAAATTGCTACAATAAGTATACTATTTTGTGGCAAATTTTAAATTGCCACAAATATTTATAGACTATTCATGTATTGTGGCAATTATTAACTTTGCTACTAAAACTTAGCCACAAAAAGTCATTTTTTTGGTAGTGCTTCAGCCACCTCGCAAGTCACTTAAGCCCTCGTCTCTCGAGGCAACCTAAGCCCTCTTACGAGGTTGGCCCTAGCAACCTAGCGAGGCACTCAGCTCTTTTCCCTAGGTCACCCTCAGCCACCTCACAAGTCACTAAAGTCCTCGCCTCCCGAGGCAACCTAAGTTTTATCTCAAGGTCGGCCTCAGCCATGTCATGAGGCACTCAAGCCCTAGTCTCCCTAGGCAACCTAATCCCTCTCCTGAGGTTGGACTCAGCCACCTCACGAGGCACCCAAGCCTTCATCTCCTGAGGCATCTCAAGTCCTCTACCGAGGTCGTCCTCAGCCACCTCACAAGGCACTCAAGCCCTCGTCTCCCGAGGCAACCGAAGTCCTCTCTCAAGGTCGGCCTCAGTCACCTGATGAGGAATCTCAAGCCCTCATCTCCTTAGGCAACCCAAGTCATCTCCCGAGATCAGCCTCAGCCACCTTACGAGGCACTTAAGTCCTCGTATCCCAAGGAAACCTAAGCCCTCTCTCGAGGTCGACCTCAGCCACCTCACAAGAAACTCAAGACCTCCTCTCCCAGGGTAACCTAAGCTTCTCCCGAGGTCTTCCCCAGCCATCTCGCTAGGCACCCAAGCCCTCGTCTTCCGAGACAGGTTAAGCCCTCTCCCGAGTCAGTCCCAGCCACCTCACGAGGCATTCAGCTCTTTTCCTGAGGTCAGCTTTAGCCACCTCGCGAGTCACTTAAGCCCCCGTCTCTCGAGGCAACCTAAGCCCTCTCTTGAGGTCAGCCCCAACCACCTCGCAAGGCACTCAACTCTTTTCCCGAGGTCGGCCTCAGCCACCTCGCAAGTCACTCATGTTATATCCCAAGGCACACCCTACATCCCACTTCCTAAGACACAATTTATACTAGTCACGAGGTGAGCATGGGCACTACTCCCATTCACCTCAAAATTCCTTCTCAGCTTAGAGAGTGGGGGACTCCGGGTGCTCGGCTCGTGATTGTTAATTACATCTCACATCATGAGAGCTTGGTAGTTCAACATCCCGACCTTGTATCACACTATAGCAGTTTGTACCAGCATGCACTCTTTGCCATTGCATTATGGCGAACAACTTTTGACTCTAGACAACGGGTCTGGGGACTTAGAAACCAGCTGTTCTAAGACTCACCCAGCCTTCTTTATTCGAATAAGACCTCACGCCCTAACGATGTTTTTCTTGATTCACCTTGTGGGATGTGATGTACTCTTTTCTTGACCGGGATTTTTTTCTGTCCCTCATGGGTTTTTTACTCGACAAGTTTTTAATGAGGCATCCCCCATGGAGTGGATCACACTACAATGGGACTGTGATCGGATCCTTGAAGACAATAGATGGATTGTGTATGATGATTTTCTACATCCACTCTTATGATGCTCGTTGTGCTCTGGACAACAAGTCGATGATGTGCCTTGTATGAGAGCAGATCCTTTCAAGATAATGAGAAGATCATTTTTCTTGCTTTGCCACTTTGGACAACGAGTTGGAAGTGCACCTTATACTAAGTTCCTGGGTTGCACGAGCAGCGTTGTTCCACATCAAACAAACATCAAACTCGAAACAAGAGACATCAATAGGTTCTAAATTCATAATCAGAGATTGTCCAACATGCCTTTAAACATATCAAGTTCAGTTCATGCTTTCCAAACCATAAACAATGTAAACGAGACATAAATCACGTAGGGTTCACATAATTCAACCGTTACGATTCTACGAACGTAAGATTCAAACCCATGACTATAACCATACGTTAGATGTCCACGTACTCACCTCGAGTTTGACGAATATACTAACGATAATACCACGAGTGCGGGAACACGACGACAAACTCTCCTTCTTCCTTCTTTTCTTCTTCTTTTTCTTTTCTTCTCCCTTTTCTCCTACCTCGCTACTGCTGTTCTGTCTTTCGCTGTGTTCATCCGGTTTAGAAAGAGAACGAGAGAGAGAGAGAGAGAGAGAGATGAGCTGTGAGTGGGAAAGGTGAGAAATAGACGTGTAAGGGTATATTTATAGGTTTGGGGTTTCGACCTCCGTTGTAACACCCCGGCCCCCACCCTAGCCGTAAGTGTCTGCTCATAGGATTGTAGACTGGCCCCACAAACAAACACAAGTCTTTCCCGCGCACTTTGTCTTAACTCGTGCGCGCCCAAGGAAAACTTCCCAGGGGGTCACCCATCCTAGAATTGTTCCAGGTCAAGCACGCTTAACCTTGGAGTTTCTAGATGATGAGCTCTCAAAAAGAAGATGTACCTTGTTGGTATGAGTAGTACTATCAATCCTTTTGAGCTCTTCCCATTCCCATCTTGATACGGGGTATTACATCCGTATTTACTTAGCGTACGTGGCCCAAAATGCACTTTTCGTGCCTACATGCTCCAAATCCGAATCCGTTTGCACCGTTGGATTCGTTTCGTCGAATCTACACTACACTATAAACCTTTTTATCAAACGAAGAATATTTCATAATTCTACCGAGTCCGTCTCAATAATTAATTAACTATGTTTAGTTAATTAATTCTGATATGCCGGGTTTTAGGGCGCTACTATACATAGGCGCACTGGACGGGGTGAAGAGCATGGTCCTGGTTAGGGCACAACTTGCTTATTCAGTAACTTTTTATCACTTTAAATCTTCTAACATTTTCCAACTCTTTCACATTTTAACATACTATTAATTAGTTCATTTCATTGTTATCCCAAAAATTTAGTCACTCCTTATAAACTAGTGGTGAGTTAGAGTCTTTGGATTCTATCTTAATTTAATTATTGTCGATTATTTCAAATTCATTTTAATATCCAATTATGGAATCTACTTTACCTGGTTTGCTTTCGTTCATTTATTTTTTATCTTATTATTATTATTATTATTTAAAACAAGTCTGAATTTTGTTTATTACGGAGTATTATAATTGAAAAAGTCAATTATTGAAAAACTTTTGTCTCTAAAAATGTAAATTATTGAAAAACTACCACCACTACTGTTACTACTCGAATAGAAGTAATTAAATTAAAGAATAAATTCCATAATTGGTCCTTTATAATAGGGGGTTTCCATATTTAGTTCTCTATTATCAAATATTATTCTTTTTTTTAAGGGTGCCTTTCCACAAATGGTACTTTTTTTATCTTCCGCCATGTGGGTGTTAATTTAAAGGCTAAAAGTATAATTTGACATCAACATTATGTCTAGTGACGTGTTCTGATATTGGTTAAGCGAATAACACAAAAATAATGACTATGATTGTGCGCTAGGATTCTGAAGGAAGACCACATTTGTAGACTTTGGTTGTAGTAGAAAGCGAATGTAATTCACAAACGAGGCAAACGGAACAACCTTTGGAATTGTGTATGACAAAAAAGATATATTATCACTGTGAAATTACACTTTTAGTCTTTAAATTAACTCCAACATGATAGAAGATCAAAAAAAGGATTATTTGTGGAAAGATACCCGTAAAAGAAGGACCATTATTGAAGTAATATTTGATAATAAAGGACTAAATAGAGAAACCCCCTATTATATAGGACCAATTATGGAATTTACTCTAAATTAAAACATAATCTTTATTCTTAAAATATAATTGCCATGATTTTATTCTTAAAATAAGACCTAAACTAATTTTAAATAAAATAAAAAAACATTAATGGCTTGTTTGAGAATTGCGTCAGCGTTTTGAAAAGGTTATATACGGGCAACGTTTAGTGTTAGTGTTTTCAAAGTAATATGCACCATTAAACCTTTATCCAAAACACTAACGCTAAGAGCATTCACAATGGCAAGGCAATGCCTTGCCTTGCCATGCCATGTCAGCAAATTCCACTCAAATGATGGCATTCCATGACCATTCCACCTCACTTTCCATTCCATGTGCAAGGCATGACTCTCTCATTTTTTATTTTTTTTAATATTTTTAATATTTTTAATTTTTGAAAAAAATATTTTTTAAAAGAAGTAAACATATTTTAATAATAAAATAGATTTTTAAAATAATTTTTTATAATTAAAAATCATTAAAAAGTGCAAAAATAGACAAAAACAACAACTTGCCACTGTATGTTACGACACTCCACTTATTTGCCACATGATGACTCGATTACTTTTTATTGGTTGAAATAATCCATGTCACCGTGTGGCATTTCATTTTTGCCTTGCCATTGTCAATGCTCTAATATCTAACGTTATTTCCAAACATGCTCTAAAGCCTCTGGCACCTTTGTCATTCTTAATCACCCTTCCGTATTTCCGCTCATCTCTACACAATCTTCTTCCATTCATGTCATAGCCTCTGCTAGACCTGGCAAAACTGACCCGGACCCGATGTCCCGAACCGAATAACCCGGAATCGAACCAGAATTGACCCGAAAACTAAAGAACCAAAATAGAACCGAACACCCGAAATGATCCAAACCAAACCGAACCCGAACCGAATGTATTCAGACCCGATTCAGACCCGAATCCGATTAAACCCGAACCCAGTTAAAACCGAACCCGGTTAAACCCGAAGCCGATTAGACCCGAAATTGATCAAATTCATTAATATTTCATTTATCAAATGAATTTGGAGAAAACGAATGACCTATCTATTTTTACATATGTTGATGTGTTTCTAAAAAAACATATTTAAATTATGGGTGCAAACCATGTAACTACTTTCATGTACAAATCTTTTACTTTGCATTTTATAACTTAAGTTAAAATAATTTTATATTTTTATTGAAAGTATATAAAAATTATAGTTAACTAAATTTATTATGTGATATTATTCATTTATTAGTATGCGCTTACATTATACTTGAACTAATATAAATTTAAACCGATATAAACTCAAATCTATATGACCCAAATCAATACAACCCGAATTGATACAAACCTGAACCGATATAACCCGAACCGATACAAACCCGAATCGATATAAACCCGAATCGATACAAACCCGAACCGATATAAACCCGAACCGAAACCAAACCGAAACCGAAAATCAATCAAACCGAAATAAACCCGGAACCGAATTGACCCGAACCGAACCGACCCGAACCGATTATAACATATATCCGAAAGAGACCCGAACCGGAACCGAACCGATTGACCCGATTGCCAGGTCTAGCCTCTGCTCGGGCAGCCCCCCGTCTCAGCCATCACTATCGCCTCTGCTCCGTCCCTCTCCCTACCTTCACCGTCGGCGTCGTCTCCAATGCTTCTATCACGAATCACGATCTTCTTATGCCATTGCAGTCTTTTCCTAAGAATATGTTTCTTTTAAACATATGTTGTTTATTAATCTCCCATAAAATTTTCAACATGTAAAATTTTCAATGTATATTTGTTCAAAAAATAATTTAAATATAAATATTTCAAACACAGAGGACTAAGATCATGTTCTTCCCAACTTATTTTTTTACGTATTACTTATTCTTATTGGAATCAGATCAGACCAAATCAGACTAAATCTGATAAAATCAAAACTTATTCCAATCAGATCAGAACCAATGAAAACATGACCTTATATAAGAATTTGTATTATTTCAATTTTTAAATTTTGTTAGAAAATATTTAAAGACACTTTGAGAATATCAAGAGTCTCTTCAAAAATCAATTTTGTAATTAACAGTCTCGGAAATTGGCATGGTCATCAGCCCAAAGTAAATTAATTAGGGGTCTTTAATAGTTATTGGCCTAGGATTTAATACTTAATTGTTGCCCTTAGGGCAACAAATATCACATTCCTTGAAATATTGAATATGTTTCAATCCTAGTCAGGTATCAATTCTTCCTAGATCGTTGCAAGTGAATGCTTACAAAAGTTAACAGCAATGCCAACTACTTGACTGCTCTTCCACCGCCCTGAAGGCACATATACAAAAACACAATCAGCATCTCAAGTTCAATCATGAATCAGCTAAAGAGGGGGGTGATTATCATCATTGGCCATGAAGTTTACACCCATGCTATGATCCTGAAGAGCTTCCATCCTTGAGTCCAATACAGCAAGTTGAGATTTCACCCATGCCGGATTATTCCAGCCTTCCACCCACAATGACTCGCCTGTACTTTTGTGCTTGAAGTCTGGATATTTTGGGCTCCTCTGCAAAACATATATACATCATCATTAATGCATATTTAAGATGAGTCGCTACATCATCAACAACTTCGTAATAATTATGTTTCCTCGTGTTGCATTTTCCTCTTTCACGTTTCTCACATTTTTGTTTCCGTACGACGCAGCTTATGAGCTTACCAATGCACTTCATCAGAATCATCTTAAAATTTTAGCCATATGGTAAAAGCAAATACCTTGTTTTTCCTATTATCCCACCATTCCATGGGGTTAGCAAAGAATGCTTGCCATAACTCCTCAACTGATTCTGTACTATTTGCAGCATAATTTTTTGTCTTTGTACCTACAAGGACATGCAATTTAATCGTATTAGCTTAAGTACAATAATAACCTATAGAAATTGTTGAATGTAGAAAGTGACACAAATTGCATGGACAAATTATTGCCTGGTGTGATGGAATTAGATTCGCCGTCATACGGCACAGTTGAAGAAGTTTTCCTTTCAACAAAGTTCAGCTCATTAACAACCACCTGCGGGAGATGATCGATATCAAGATATGTGAGCTGGATAGTAATTCATATCGTAAGTAATTAGAAATAGAAATTGGAAAGAAAAACAAAAAAAACAACCTTATAGTAAGTTTTTTGTTAAACAACCTTATAGTAAGTTTTTTGTTTCCCATCATCCCCTTCAACAGTATCTGATACCAAGCGACCGCATACATATATTTGACGACCTTTCTCCACATGTTGAAAAGCAACATGAGCCAATTCATTCCAAAAATTCAAATCGATCCTGAAAAGTTATATATTTAATACAGTAGTTACCACGTGATGGGCATTCTTCTTCATTTTCAGAGTGGATATTATCAGCCAATAGACATAAGACCAGCCAAGGGATAGCAACGAATATACAAAGGCAAATATGTTAGTCCAGAACATCTAAAGCAGCATCACAGCTTATTTCATGCACAAGATCTTTCTCCACCTCAAACTAAAAAGTATGTACTTTATCAAAGAGCATGTAAGCTACTTGAGACTAAAGATGAGCTCGCAGATTAAACATTGGACCCCCCTTGCAGTCCATATGCACAAGTAAAATAGGTGAGATAACATATGAAAATTAGGTCACAGCTTTTTGTTCTTTTAGCATAAATATCAAAGGCAGATGAGATGTTGCTGGCATGTTGCAACAACTGTTGGTCAGCAGAGGGGATGATTGGACTTAAGAGGATTTAACCATTTCCTAAAACCACCCGCCTTCTAGGTTCATGAAACTTTTAGCTTAATAATGAATGAAAAACATGCTCTTTGCTTTACCTAATTTACATCTAGAGTATGTAAGTCATACGATAGATCAAGGGCAAACGTGAACTCTTGAAGTCCAAAAGTACATGAGAAAGTTAGAAAACAATAGCTAGAATTGCTGCCTCGCCAATGCCACATGTTGCCTTTTGTCTAAAAAATGATTACTTCTCCCGCCTAGTCTAGCCTAGGACTGCAGAGTTTAAAAAACTTTTTATAATTTCAATATCCTATATGAAATTATTTCAAATCATATATCGAGCAATGGCCAGGTTCTATGGCCACTCAAAGAGAGTGGCCACTCAAAGAGAGTGGCCACCAAGGACACTTTCCCACACCAACAATGTTCTGTTCGAAAAATTGATAGTTCTTAGCCCCTAAACCCAGGTAAACCACTCACCCAACCCCGACTCCAATCCATTGTCAATTGCGGGGTGCGAGTTTAGTTGATCAATTTTTTTTAGGACAATGTCCGGTCTTACAAATGCTGGAAAATATGTGATGTGACTAAGAAATGTGCAAAAACGCATAGACCATGGCTAAATATGCATTCTTCCCAGCGTACAACTACAATTCATCTCAAATTATCCAAAAATCTAAAAGAACACCATAATGAATTCGAAAGAGAGAGAGATAGAGCGGTGAAGACAGGCAGATCAATTCTAAGGAATTACCAGCTGGTGTCGTTCTCAGACTTCTTGACGGCAAGGCGGGACCAAGCCACGGCCTTCCCGGAGGCAAGGTGTCGGATTTGGACGGGCGAGGCTACGATGCCGATGAGCTGCACAGAATTGCAAAGCTCCTTCTTCCATTGAATCTCCGCCGGAGGCGGAAGCTGAGAGGCCTCGATTTGGCCGCGCTCGAAAACGGGGGAACTGGAAATTTTGCTGCTGGTGTAGTCGTCTGAGTAGCTGATTCGGCCGCAGGAGACTAATCGCCCGCTTTTAGAAGAAGAAGATAAGGAGCGCTTGAGGGATAAGGGTTGAAACAGGGGGGACATGGATGGGATGCGAGAATATCGTAGAGGGTCGTTGGGAGGGAGAGCATAGGGTTTTGACAGAACGACTGCTCGTTCAAACGCCATTATCGATCTCTGGTCTGGTGACTGTTGACTGTTGAGTGTGAGTACGCGAGAGGGAAAATGGGCAAAAGTAGCATACAGATGGATGGACGGGAACCATTTTTGAGTTTTAACTATTTTTAATTTGTACGGAGTATTAATCATTAATATAATAAAATAAAATTTTAAAGTTATCATATTTGACTTGAAAAAATAAACTCGATAAATACACTGTGATGGAGAAAGTAATTTTTTAATATAATTTTAAATTTTTAATTCTTTTTAATTTTTTATTACAGCACAAGAGAGAGCCACACCCTAAAAGCTACTACCTCCGTCCCATTTTAAATTGCATGTTTACATTTTTTCTTCGTCCCAAAATAAGTTGCCTATTAGTTGTTTTCGTAAACTTTTAAAAGTAAAATACCTAAGCTACCTCTAAAATAAGTCACTCTTCTCCACATTATCTTCTCATTCATCATCATCCCTCCTAAAAAGTACTAACAATTTCGAAAAATCAACTCTATTTTTTATTTTCCTTAAATATGCCCAAAAGTCAAAACGGACGATTTAAAACGAGACAGAGGGAATAACTGTTAAGGTGGGAGAACCCTTGGCCATATAAACCCATCACCAAGTCCCCCATTCAACCGGTGTGGGACAATGAAATCAGTCCGTATCATTCGACCCCCCATAAAGCCCAACGTTCTCGTTGGTCACGCCTACGTTGGTCACGGCCACGTTGGTCATGGCTGGTTTCACCAGGCCACCACTCCGTAGGCCACCACTTCGAGTTGGCTCTAATACCATTGATACAACACAAAGGAGAGCCACACCCTAAAAGCTAACTGTTAAGGTGGAAGAACTCTTGGTCATATAAACCCATCACCAAGTCCCCCATTTAACCGGTGTGGGACAATGAAATCAGTCCGTATCAAGGCCCTTGCTCGATCGGAGAAGAAGGAGGCGGACAGCGTCTCTAGGTTTGGATCTAGCGAGAAACGAAGTATATATACTTAGCGTTTTGTACTCAATTTTAAATAACGTGTCTGAGTAAGATTACACTTTTCGGGCTAACTTGCTCCAAATTGAGATCCGTTTGCATCGTTGGGTTTGATCCATCGATCCCTACCCAACCATATAACTTTTGTAATCCTACAACACGCATTTACCAATTTCACCAGGTTCGTCTTAATTCTTTCGATTAATTAATACAGATCTGTCTTTTAATTTAAATCTTTACAAATATAATCAGATTAGTCTCGTTATATTGAGACGATTAGAATCTCTAAAATATCTTTTATTTCTTTAAAAGAATAGCATGTTGTAAATAAATATTTTTTTATTTATTTATTTATCGATTAACTTCTAGGCCGGTTTCCAGGGCGTTATAATATATATATATATATATATATATATAATATTTTATTTTGGTTTGTCATTTTAATTATTAAAATAATTATTTTGACATAAAATATTTAAAGTATATTTGTATACTTGTTTAAAAATAATATTGGTATTTTTATTTGATCTAATATTAATTTTATATTAATTTTCGGTGTCAAATAAAATACACTTTAAACATTTAAGTGGAGAGAAATTTTGAAAATCCTTCTCATAATCACAACCTTAATTTTAGCCATGATAAGTTTTTAAAGGAACAAAATTTCCTTATTTGATTATTGAGTGGAGCTAATTATTTTGTCATTTAGTTAATGACAAAGTCAAATTAATAATAACTTTTTCTCCTTAAATATACTCCACACCATTCCATTCATTTTTGTAGATTTTTGTTCGGCCATCATCATTCAAGAGAGAAAGAAATTTTTTTTTGTGTTCCAATAATATCATTTTGTGTATAGAAAATATCTATAATATTTTTTTAAAATATTATTAGAAATTTTTTCTATTGAAATATACAAGATTATTATTATCCCAATTTTAATCTTTATATGTTATACTACTACAATCTTTACTAGCATAAGGATTGTGGTAGACTTTGGCGTTGTTCGTGTGTCAAAGTTGGAGACCGGACGCTTGAACGGTTACGTTTGCACTTTCAACGCTATTCCTACGACTTTTTCATTTTTACCGCTTACGGAGAAAGGTATAAATTTCTAACTTACTATAAGTTTTAGTACGTGATTTTGGGCAAGATAATCAGGTAAGGATGTTAAAATTTTCATATTTCACTACCTATCATTGCATGGACACTCTTGGAAGGTGCCAAGACACCCAGCTTGGAATCCCAATGGAAGGTGTCCAATTGGGCAGGTTGGAGCCCCTACCACGGAGGTGCCGAGACATGTCGTGGACTCCCGTACGCACGTTTTAACCCTAGAGACCATCACGTGTACACCGACACCTGCATGACCTTATGTTTCAATACCTCAATCTTATAAGTAATTTAGATTCCAAACTCAATGCAAACCCGCCTAATACTACTAGGCGACCTTTTTCACAATTCTTGTTCCGCACACAAGTATAACCAATAAGTTCTATAATAACACAGCTCCCCTATTTGACACGTTCGTTATCCTCGATAGACTTATTAGACTGAATTATATAAAAGTAGAGCTCAAATTGGTGTATTTCACTTGGTTGGTAGATTTGGACTATTCCATGGCCATTGTCCAAACGTTAAAAATTTAAACACCAGTGGACTATTGCAACTAAATTCGGCCCACAACATAAACCTAAGCCAATTTGATCAAACTTTTGGAAAGGTCAATCTTCAGTACTCCCCTCTCGATGACCTGGTCTCCAGTGAGATAGACCAGCGACAACTCTACTACGTCAATGGAAACCAACGGCTCAACAGCAACATGTGGCGTCCTCTTCCCCATAGGCAAAACATCAATGACAGAGCAAAACAGAAAGAAATAGAGTAGAACAGGATAGCACAGAACAGAGGAGAAGGAGAAAGAACGGAGCAGGGCAGCAGGAACGGCAATGAAACCCGGGTCGTAACTCAATTCAATTCAACGATACAATCCAATTCCAAATTCGCAGCATGATCAATCAAACAAACTAAGATGATGATATGGTGATGAGGGAGGTCTCAGAATAGGAGCAGGAGCAGGCTAGGGCCGCCGCGAGGATGAAGCTGATGAAGACTCTTTGCAATGGGAATTTATTCCCATAACAATTCCAAAAGAGAATAATGTGGACAATAGAAATGGTATATATTTAGTTGGTTTTGTTTTAGTTTTTTTTTTTGTTTTCGCTCATTCTTGGTGTAGGGTTTAAATGTTGTCTTAATAATAATATAAATAAATGCTCCCTTGCAGGTGGTCTTTCCTCAACATCAGAGATTCAGGCGATTGAGACACCAAGACCAGGCGGCAACGGAAGCGGATCGGAGCACCGAAATGGAGATGATGCAAGAAATGAGCCCTCCCTAGAGGATCATGCAGTCATCTGATACTCGAGGTATCCGTGTTTGCGGCAAAGGAGAAGGAGAATTATTAGGGTTTAGGGAAAAGAAAGAATATAGGGGAAGGAGTTATCTCTTATTCATACCATGCGTAAGGGTTTGTCATTCCCTTATATAGAAGAATTCCCCAACCTAAATTACTAATTTTCTATCTTGTCGGTTCAAGAAAAGCGACAAGGTAAAGAACCGAAAAGAAACCCTCGAAGGAGCTTATAGTTCGTTCACCTAACAAAATCTATTAGATTTGTGAATAAGAAGGAATAATAAAAATATCAAACGTAATCTTTGAAACGGCGAGGTCGCCCAGCATTCCGTCGTGGTCATCCAACCCTAGGAGCCCCTTCATGGTCTACGTCCGCATGGCCCGAATCCTCTGCATGGCCTGAACCAACTCCCCCTGGGTTAGCTTCGGCCTTTTCCTCAAGGCGGAGATCCGCATATATGTCCAATAAGTCATCAACAGGCTCCCACGTAGCGTCATCGGCGTCCCATCCGACCAACGGACGAGCCATTGCTCTTGTGGGTGGCCATCTACCAGGACCGTGCGGCTGCGCAGCCCCACGACAGGGATTGATAACGGTGTGTCCCTTGAAGAAACAGTTCGGCAAGGAGGAGGATAAAGTGTTGCCCGGTCGTGCTATAAAGGGGCGCAGAAGTGAAACATGAAAAACGTCATGTATCTTGCATCTGTCCGGAAAACGTAGACGATAGGCCACAGCTCCCACACGCTCCATCACCTCAAAGGGGTCGTAATATCATTAGGCAAGCTTGGCAGACAACAGACGAGCCATCGAGTGTTGGCGGTACGACTGAAGTTTGAGAAGCACCATGTCGCCGACTGCAAAAGAAACATCCCGTCGGTGTTTATTAGCTTGCGAACGCATACGTTGCTGCATCTTTGTAAGGTGAGCCTTCAAATCATTGAGCAAATCGGCGCCTTCACGTAACATTTCCTCAATCGCCGGAACCCGAGCACGCACTGATAAAGTAGGGAACAACGAAGGTGGTGGCCGTCCATAGAGGGCCTGGAAGGGAGAAACGCCCAGCCCTTCATGGTGGCTGCAATTTAAGGCGAGATCTGCCCACGGTAGAAAACTCGACCACTTGGACGGCCGCTCATAGGTAAAAGCTCGGAGGTATTGTTTGAGGCTATGGTTAAGAACCTCCGTCGGACTGGGGTGGTAGGCGTTGGAAAACTTGAGCGAAGAGCCGTGATGCTTAACCATGACGTCGGTAAAGAGCCGTGATGCTTAACCATGATAAGCTCATAAACACCGAGTCTCTATCTGAAATAATGGAGCGAGGGAACCCGTGATGCTTAACCATGACGTCGGTAAAGAGACGGGCAACACGTGGGGCATCAAATCCAGCGGCTAAGGCCCCACCATGCGAGTACTTGCTCAACCTATCGACCACCACCATGATTACAGTGAAACCCTGGGATGGGGGCAAGCCCGTGACGAAATCCATTGAAGGCGATTCCCACACTTGGTCCGGTATTGGCAACGAGTGAAGGAGCCCGATGGGTCGTTGTGTTGAATATTTTTTGGCCTGACTTACGGCACAGGAGGCTACAAACTGCCGCACATCCCGACGATCGACGGCCAGTAAAACACCCCTATCAACGGAGTCCAATGAAAGTTGTCCTTCTTGAGTAGCTCTGTCATTGGTGCCGCCAACATGGCATACCCGGCGATGAAACAGAGATAATATTTGGTGAGGCCAAGGAATCCCCGCAATTGTTTGATGGTAGTCGGTTTAGGCCAGTTAACCATGGCGTCAATTTTGCTTGGGTCCGGGTGTCGGCGGTCAGGATATGGTCGAGGTAATCAATGGAGGCCCTGCCTGAGTTTGACATAGAAGCAATTAGATTGGAGAGTACCTAAAACCGTCCGAAGATGAGCCGCGTGGGCGTCCACTGATGCACTGTACACCAAGATGTCGTCAAAAAACACAATGATGAATTTCCGCAGGTATGCCCGAAAAAGGTTATTCATCGCTGATTGGAAAGTCGAAGGGGTGTTGGTGAGGCCGAACGGCATGACCAAAAACTCGTAGTGTCCGTCATGCGTGCGGAATGCCATTTTAAAAATATCCCCCTCATGCATACGGATCTGGTGGTATCCGGATCATAAGTCGAGTTTAGAGAACACCCGAGCGTGGCCCAATTCGTCAAATAGCTCGTCTGTTCTGGGGACGAGGTAATGATTAGGGACTGTGGCGGCATTCAATGCTCTATAGTCGACGCAAAAACGATATGTACCGTCCTTCTTACGCACCAAGAGAACCGGAGAGGAGTAGGGGCTGTGGCTATGTCGAATCAACCCCTGGTCTAACATTTCCCGAACTTGCCGCTCAATTTCTGTCTTCTTGAAGTACGGATAGCGGTAGGGGCGAACATTCACGGGCTTGGCGGTTGCGTCAAGATGAATTCTGTGATCCCAATGACGGGAGGGTTGCAACCCCTGCGGCAACCCGAACACATCCGAATACGCTAACAAGACGGCATGAATAGGAGCTGGAATGTCATCTAGAAATGCAGGTGAGGAGGCTAAATCCTGCCTAGGAGAAGAATTTGCCAGCATCAATTCATAAATATCCCAAACGTCCGGAGCCGCGGCCAGAGTGCAAAATTGGCTATAAGAGATCGGGCGAGGGTGAGGAACGTCCCCGCGCAGGACTACTGGGCTGCCCATCTAGGAGAACTCAACCGTTAATTGTGAATAATCATGCGACACCTTGCCGAGGGTTTGTAACCATTGCATGCCCAAGACGATGTCGGGGCCGTGTATTTCAAGAATATATAAATCCACGTCGAAGCGATGACCTTGCAAGCATAACGGCATTTCGGGGCATGAATAGGCGCACCGTAGAGAGTCCCCATTGCCGACATATACCCGAAACGGAGTTACTGGGTGGAGGGTCAACGTGAGGCATTCGGCCACGGCGGGATGGATAAGATTATGCATGCTCCCCCCGTCTAAGAGCACCTGAACCACCATCTCCTTGACGGACCCCTCCAACTTGAGGGAACGGGGGCTGGGGCTGCCGGCCAGTGAGTGGAGACTGGAGATGTCCCCCGAAATTACAGGAGCTTCTTGGTCTCTGTCAACAAAATCCTCAACATCCAGGGGGTTTTCATCTTCATCAGGACCATAAAAACCAGGAACCGATGCTTACAATGGTGGCCCGGCACCCACTTCTCGTCGTAGTACCAACATAAGCCTTTCTTGTTGCGTTCCGCTTTCTCGGCATTCGTCAATCGGACAATTGGGAGATTCGTCGCTGGAGTGGAGGTACGTGGGGCTGGCGAGATGGGCTTTGTGGCAGCCGTTGGGGTAGGTAGAATTCTGGTAGTAGCTGGAGATGGTGGACGTTGCGGCCAAGGACGCCGGACCCCGAAAGAATAAGAGACCGCGGCTTCCTGGTGACATGCCGAGAGTTCGCGCGCCAAGGCAAACGTAGCTGGCAGTGTGCTAGGGTTCCAAAGGTTAACCTCCCGTTGCACCAGCTGTTTAAGTCCCACAATATACATGGTGACAAGGGTCATTTCGGGGACCCCGGAAATCTTGTTGAGAATTGATTCAAAAGTGGATTGATACTCCATAATTGAAGAAGTGTGCGTGAGCTTGGACAATAACCCAACGTAGTTCTCATAATAATTGGGGTCGAAGCGTTGTTGCATGGCGTCAAGAAAGCCGGGCCAAGTCGCCAAGGTGTTGTTCGCCTGATAATAATGGAACCATTCGGACGTAGGATGGTCGATCAACATGGCCACGAGTTGCATGTGTTCCAGTTCAAATGTCAAGAAGTAATCAAAATACTTTTGGGCACGAAATATCCCACCCATAGGGTTATCAGCCGAAAACCGAGGCGCATCTACTCGCATGCGAGGGGCAGGATCCAGTGTCGGCGGTGTGGTGCGAGACGGCGACGGCCGCCAGCCCAGATGATAAGGAACCCCATGGCGTTGATTCTGATCCATGTGTGGTGTCCTAGAGGATGCCAATTCAGCGACCCGGAGTTTGGTGGCATTCAGATCTTGGCCGAGAGTGTTGATGGCGTGCATGATATCCTCCAAGGTCAAGGAAGTAGGGTTTGGTTCGGACAAAGACATCGGAGCATGAGATCAACAATGAAAGAACCAGTTGATACTCGAGCTATCCAGTTTTGCAGCAAGGGGGTGGCGACCGTATTTTACTGGTGGGCAGAGGCGGCAAAGGAGAAGAAGAATTTTTAGGGTTTAGGAAAAAAAGAATATAGGGGAAGGAGTTATCTCTTATTCATACCATGCGTAAGGGTTTATCATAGAAGAATTCCCCAACCTAAATTACTAATTTTCTATCATGTCGGTTCAAGAAAAGCGATGAGGTAAAGAACCAAAAAGAAACCCTCGAAGGAGCTTATAGTTCGCTCACCTAAAAAATCTATTACATTAATGAACAAAAAGGAATAATAAAAATATCAAACATAATCTTCGAAACGGCGAGGTCGCCCAGCATTCCGTCGTGGTCGTCCAACCCTAGGAGCCCCTTCGTGGTCTACGTCCGCATGGCCCGAATCCTCAGCATGGCCTGTATCATCATCTTAACACGCTATGAAGCAAAACAATATCATCTCAAGCAGCAGCACAACGATCTTGTCCGGCGAGCTAAAGACGTCATGCAGCTTGTAAGGGTCACCATACCTACGCTTATGGTGGATGGTGCTCGTCGGGATTGTTGCCGATGAGTCATATTTTCATTGTTTCTAGGGGCTTCTGTAACGACCCAAAAACCGGCTTAGTAGTTAGCCGTTATTTTAATAAAATAAATATAATATTTATTTACTCTAAAATATGAATTACTTGTAAAAGTTGTCCGTTTTGAATAAAATTAGGTTTTCGGATAAATCTCGTAAAATGGTGACCAACGATATATAGTTTGTTAAAATTTGGACTTACGTACAAAACGCGGTGAGTAAAATAGACATTACAGTTCAATAATTAAATATAAAGATTTTTAGTTATAAAATAATAATATATTAAACAAATCCTATAGCTACCCGTTTCCAAAGTCAAAAAGGAAACTACCCATCCCAAAACCCTCGTACAGTACGTATATATATACACGCGCTATTTACAGAACAACGTGTTCTGTTCTTCCGCCGATCGAGCGCGGATCCACAGCCATCTCCTTTTTCGTCTTTATTCTTTCCCCGCGCAAGATCAGACCCGTGAGAGAGGGGAAACAAGGGCAGAAGAAGCCTCGCTGGAAAATAGCAGTCACTGTGCTGTCGCCGCTGTTTGCCGGAGGAGCTGGATGCCGCGGGATAGCCGCTGCTCTGCCGCCGAGTTGCTGAAGTCTTCCTTGAGTATTTGATTAGTTTAATTCGCCAATTAATCGAGGTCAGGACATTGCACATCTAACGCTAGATTACGTATATAGATTTGAAATTCACGTTCGTAGTTTCGTATGATTGATTACGTGGTTTATGTGTTTATAATTGAATTATGATTTAACCATAGTATATGTTATTGTTGGAATTGGTTGAACGAGGAAGGCTAGGTACGTTTTCTAACCGTGAAATTATGTGGCTTGCATGATAAAAACCTTTAGAAACATTATCTGAATGAAATGGGTTGAATAGAATTGAATTACGCTGTTTCTGTAGCTTTCTGACGTCAGACGGTAGCTAGGTACCGCCTCATGGTATCCTGCTACCGCCATAGACCCCTCCGTTAAAATGGCTCTGTCGGTACTTGCGCTCGCACGGTAGGGGGTACCGGCCAGACGGTACCAAGGTGCCGGACCGACGGTACCAAGGTACCGTGTCACACCCAAATACTGCCCCAACCCAGTCCTCCTCTGTCGGTAACTGTAGTTAGACGGTCGGGGGTACCGGACCGTCATTATCTAGGTACCGCCCGGCGGTACCAGGGTACCGTGAAGGGTACCGTGTCCACCCCCAGCCGCCCGATTCGCTGTTTGTTTGTTCTGATTTGAATCCCGAATTTATCCCATGATCTTGTATGTTGCATGACGGTAAGTGGAGGGTGTTTACACCCGAGACTAGGCCGCTAATTGATGAATGTGGTTGCCTATTTAACTTGTTGTAATCTCGTATGAATTTGGAAATATGGAATTATGAATTTGAATACGGATATGCTACCTAGCTGAACTATAGGTAGACCGAGGAAACAGAATAAGGAATACAGTTAGGAATAACTGGTCATGTGATGAGCCAGCGTGCACGCATGATCAGTTGGGTAGAGCGTGCACACGGGGGTCGTAGATCTGCTCATGAATGTGAGTAGGTGGTCCCACCCAGCCGACGTTGGATGACATCGTATCGAGCGGGTTCCTCTATGGATGCGGTTGAATCAGGACTCTAGAATAAAGTAGTTGGCCTTAGCCTAGGATAGGTTATGAGCCTAGAGATAAAGAAGTGGGTTATGAGATTAGTTTGGTAATTATGATAATTATGCTTCATTGATGAATTACATGTTGTTAATGATGTTATTGATATTGTACTTGTGTGAATGATATTGTATGAAGTTATGAGCTAGTGGGTTCGTCTATGTGCGTAGTCGAACGTTAGATAGTTCTCACTTAGCTTCAATGCTGAGCGTGTAGCCCTTTTTGCTATTTTCTACACGTAGGTAACAGGAACGATGAATAATGAGACGGTCTTGGAGGCAGCGAGGGCGAAGAGATGGATGTTGGCTGGAGGAGTTATCTAATTTAATATTTAAGTTTGAATTTATTATATTTTTAAGGGCAAGAACCCAAAGTTGTATTTTGATTAAGTACTTAAAGGCTTCCGCATCGTTTTGTTAACTCTGATGGATGTTTAAATATTGTTTTGAATTAAATGTTTTAAATTGTTTTGAAAATTATTGTGTCTGAATACAAATTTAGTAGCAACCCGATCCGCTGGTCCTTGTATTCGGGTCACGCGGGTCGGGGTGTTACAGCTTCCTTTGTCTATGCCGCGGTGATGTTTCTCTTTATGCTCACGTTTTATCATGTGATTCTCACTTGCCGCGATCGCTTGAGAGGCATAGACAAAGAAACCTTGATTGTGATTTGCCGGAATAAAAGGTTAAAGGAGGCTTTTTTAAGGTATAAGAGTGCTGCGGGCTTGAGTAGGTTGGAAGGGAATGTGCTTACAGGGGAAGATCAAGAGTCAAACGTGAATGTGCATTTGGATTGTAGAGAAAGGGAGCTGTTCCTCCTCGACAAAAATCAAGAGTTAGATAACTTTGTGGGGGATTACTACAAGGAGCTCAATCTCTGCTCGGGTCTGATGTTCTTCCAAGCCATTTGTTCCATTGTTGCTACACTTTTTAAAATCATAATGAAGAAGAAGACTTAGCCTATTGTCCGATTTGCACTCACTATTTATGAAGTATGAAGTGACCACCTCCCAAGAAGACTTGCATAATTCATCATCATCACCATACCATCACCATCACCACAACCACCATCATCATCATGATTATTATTATTATATTATTATTATTATTATTATTATTAGAAGAAGACTAGGAGTACTAGTATTTTTTAATTTTGGATGATGATATTATGCAGCTAGCTATTTTGGCCTTTTGGGTTACTATTTGGTCATAGATGGATGCTTATCATGTGTATTTTCATCCCTTTTTTTGCAGTACCTGCATATATATGAGGGTAACTTCCCAGAAAGGGAAGATTTCTCTGATGGAATTCCAAAAAAGCCAAAGAATTTCGAGTCAGTGACAAAGGAAGTCGGGGACTTCCTTTGAGAAAAAAAGAAAAAGAAGTCACGTGTTCCGTCATGTTCTCCATCCCTTCTTCCCTTATTCAATTACACCATTCAATTATCCTATTAAATTACCCTACCCCTTTTCCCCTTTTCACACATTCCAACCATGTTTTCAAATTCAAACATTCTCCTCCCCTTTCCAACACATTATCTTAAATTTAAACCTTTTCAATTTCTTCCTTATTCAAATCCTCAAAATTATATCACAATTCACAACACAAGACTTCTCCATTCTACTCTCAATTAAAATGTATGTTATTATTTTTTTTAATTTTTATTCTTTAGAATCATTATAATTTTTTGGCAAAAATGATTAGACTTTGTTTTTATTATCATATAAATTTAATTAATTGTTAGAAATGTGGTATTTAGTATTAAATAGTATGAAAAAATGAATCAAATAAATTCTTATGATAGATATATGTTGCTTTTATATTTTGCATTTGTATATAATAACTTTAGGGAAGTTTTGTATATATGGTAGAAATATATTTGGAGTATATTAGAGTATATATTTTTTTATTTCTTTTATGTTTGATACATTATTATGCTCCAACATTTGTACATAGCATGGAAATATGGAGTATATTTTCTTTTATTTCTCTTATATTTCCTTGTATTTGCATTAAATTTTAATGAAGCAATGGACCAAATTGAACGTGATATTTCCGGTCCTCGAAACGATGCTGTGTTAACGCTTCAACAGAAGCATCGTTCAAGGCGCGTTTTGGAAGAGGAAGATTTTCTTGATGCAAAAGTTTTTTGTTGTCGGTATGACGTCGGCGTTGAAAGCTCTTACAAAGATGATCGGATAGAGACAAATCTCAGAACTGCTGGTTTTTACAGGGTGCATCGTGTACAACCCATTAAATTGGATCACGGTTTAATCACGGCCCTATTGGAATGGTGGAGACCAGAGGTTCATGCCTTTCAATTCCCTTTTGGCGAATTAGGGATTACCTTACAAGATGTTGAGTGTCTTCTTGGATTACTTGTGGATAGTGAACCCATTGTTTTTACGCAAAATGTTCCGTGGGAAACCTATTCACGGTTATTTTTTAGGGTTCTTGACTTTCCGGTGGATGACACTGATTTTGGGTCATTGGGGTTTAACTTGCGTAGAGTAGAAGGTCGAGACCCACTGTCTAAGGATAGCACTGATGAGGAAGCAGTTCAGTATACTACAGGGATTATTTTACTGTTGATTGGAGGTTCGTTATTTCCTACTACATCAAACACGCATGTGAGTGTTGAGTTCTTGCCATACTTGGCAAATTTGGATGACATTCATCAATTCAGTTGCGGCTCTGCTGTCTTGGCAAACTTGTATTATAATATGTGCAAGGTAGTGTTACGGAGAACTGATACTCCAAAAATGGGAGGATGTGCTTTGCTTCTGCAACTTTGGGCTTGGACACGGCTAATAACCATATGCCCTGAAACGCGCAATCTTCGACGCGATGTTCATGGACCACTCCGTAATGAGGGAGACG